TTAATAAGTTTTAACTTATTTTTTTAAAAGTATATTCGAGTAATTAATATATATAAAAGAATAAGATAAAGCTAAGTTAAAAAATCTTAAATTTATATATATTATTAAAATTAATATAAATATAATATTAATATAAATAAAATAGATTAAGAATAATAAGACTATTAAATTATATAAATAAGAAGAAGATATAATATAATAGAGAATATCTTCGCTAAGACTCACTAGTTATAGAATTAAGTAATATATTAAAAATACGCTCGTAATAAATATATTTAATTATAAATTCGAATTCGTTATATTTTTTAATTAGACTATTTAAGTTAGCTCGCTAACTCTCTTAAGTATTCTTATTAAAAAATAGATATATATTATTTATAAATAGAATAACTTTTTTATTTTCTATTAAAATATTAAGATTTTTTTTAAATTATAAAGCGTACTTTACGCTTTTTAACGCTAAAAGAATTTCGAGATTTAGTCTTATAATTATTAAAGCGTAAGAAATTTAAATATCGCTTATTAAATATTACTTATTAAATTTACTCGATAGTCGATAGCTCGTAATTATAGTTAAAAAATAAATATATATTATTTAATTTTAAAATAACTTTTTTATTTTCTATTAAAATTTTAAAATTTTATTTTTAAATTATAGAATATAATATAAGCTTTTAGAGAAAAAAGAAATTTTTAAATTTAGTCTTATAATTATTTTAAGATAAAGAATTCAAATATCGCTTATTAAAAGTACGCTTATTAAATTTGCTCGATAACTCTAATTAAAAAAAATAGAGTATGAATTTAATTCATAGGCCTAAACTCGTATTCAATTAATAAAGAAGCAGCACTGACATCAACCTTCAGCCTCCTTATCCACCTGTTGTGATGAAATGTGATGCAACTGCTCAGGCATGATAAGTGTTTCTCCAACATTCAACAACCCGAGCTCCTCTCCCCAAACTTTGCCATCCTTCTCGCACGCCTCTCTGAACCGCCTTGGGGGCTCCGTGACTTCCTCGAAGTACTGGCTGATTCCGCCTCTAACAGTTCCGTAGTGCATGCCAATGGATTTTCTGCTCTTCAAATCCTTGTGCAAGCAAAGGCTATCCTCAGGGTTGCAATGTATGGGAGACATCAAATGTCTAGGGGAGTAAAGTCCAATTGGTAACATGCTGAGATCGAAAGGGCCAAATGCTTCCCCTATTTCCTTGAATGCCGGGCAAGATGGCCTGTCCAACTCTTTTGCTTCTTTGGGCACATATCGGTAGCCAGTGTCGCCAGCAAAAAAGACCTTTCTGGAGGTGCTAGGTTGAGTAGTTGCTAAAGTGTTGCTGAAAGCTCCAGCGTCCAAGACCCAGGAACACCAAAGTGTAGATGCCTGGTCCCATATACCTCTGCCGGAAAAGTGTTGCGAGGGCGTACAGGTCATAGTCACTGACCCCATGCCTGGTACATCAACCCGGACGCCTTCCCACCAATCTAATTCGGTAACCTCGTCGCCACCAATGCCAAAGCCCCGAAGTCTAGAAGCGTTCCCTAGTGCTACCAAAAAATGCACGTTCCCTTTCCTGCTTGCATAAATCTTCAAAAGGGTATCTGAATCCATGTGATCATAATGATCGTGAGAGATGACGACCAAATCGACATCAGGCAACTCATCAAGCGTGCAAGGGGTGGGAGTGTAGCGCTTCGGTCCAGCCCACGTCACTGGACTCGTCCTCTCGGAAAACACAGGATCGAACAGCACCCTCACTCCTCTTCCTGCACCTTCTGAAGCCGATGTTTCGACCAGGAAGCTTGCGTGGCCGATCCATGTGGCCTTCAGACCCTCTTTGCCTGCACCCCAGTCTGGCTTCTGGATAGCAACTAACTTGTCGCGCGATGGCACTGGCTTGAAGTCACGGTTGCGTTGAGATGTTATGAGGAGGTCAAGAGGTGAGTGCTTGTGAAAGGATGGCCATGGGTTGGTAAAGGAGGTAGGTGGGTTGCCAATGTGATGAGAGGGTTGAGAAGATTCTGCTTTTCGAGGCACCCTTGTAATGGTAATGGAAGTAGTGGAAGCCATAGCCATTATGCTTTGTGTTATGGAGCGGAGGAGATTGGTCAGTCGGTACTTTTAGTCTACCCCACCTCTGACTGCCAAGAAGTCGGCAGTCAAGTCAACCGACTCAATAAACCGAAACCCTAACCCTACTTCCATCCATCTTCTGTAAGTCGACGGACTCGACTCGACTCGCAAGCTTCTGATCAGAAACATATTTCTTAGACAATATGTTAAAAAGTACTAATACATTCCTGTGTCTGATCTGAATCTGTGCGATGCATAGTTGCTGATATTTCGTTCTAGCTCTACCAGCCTGACGACGGGTGCCAAACGCTCTTGGCTCGTCCAAATTCTCACGAGGTCGATCTATCGAGCTCGTTATACGTAGTCTGGAACAACATTTGGAGTGTGTCGATTCTCGCTAATCTGGCTTGGTTTCCCTGGCGCTTGAAGTTTTCTAGAAAGTCCCGAGAGTCATGGTAACACCGGAACACCAGATGGGAGTACTCTTCCGTCGAGGCTGCGCCCGCCATCGCAACGGTGTGGCGCAGACAGTTGAATTAGTGCTCGAGTGTACTACGCCATAGCCACAGCCACATGGTACCAGTACAGTGTCTGACGTTAGTGGTTGAAGACGACGAATCGCTCGCAGTGCGTACTGCATTAGCAATATACCGATTGCTTTGACTTCGACTAGAAAAGCCATGATGAGATGGTTCAGTTTCGATGAACGATCCCAGTTTAATTTAATTATAGACTCCTTATGTGCCCCGTTTCGGCCATACCGCTGCTACTGTTATCATAGCCATTGGAAGGGAGTAGACAGCATAAGGTAGGAAGGGGTCTCTCATCTTGGCAGGATTGTCTCTCAGCTTAAGCTAAATCTTTTCTCTCGCGATTCTCCAGATATCGAGAGATCTACACAAAAGCCTCAGGTGGTGCAGCGAACTTATTGTTCGGCCTAGATCTCACATCCCAGACTCTTTTCCTCGTCGCATCTCGACTGAAGTTTTGAGCCCTGGCATCCATAAACGTGGAAGAGTATAGCCCTCAACAGTCAGTGATTCAAAGGCTAGATTTCAAGTTCACCCACCTCAGCCATCTGGAGTCATATTCAGTGGCCGCATTTTGCTCGCGTGGGAAACTTCCAGCACAGGCTTCTCAATGTCGTCAGCGATGCAGTCTCCCAGGTGGGAATAGGCCGGTAATTGAAAGGGCACTCGGCAAAGTCTGCGAGAAAAGTAATTGCCCGGCAGACAATGCATAATGTAACTGCATATTTGGAGAACGCTTCTAACGAGCTGATCACCGCGAGCTCGTAGCCTGTGTGTGGTTGATGTCTGAATCTGAAATGCGTCTTAATCGTCCGATCAATCCAGATGCCAATAAGTAAGAAACATATCGTATTGCACGAAGCCGTCAGCCTCTGAGCATCTGTCATTCGCATTGCGAACTCAATTCCCTTTCGTAGCCGGCAGGAGCCGATTTCAACAACCCGAACCCGCCAGATCGGACACAACAAACTCCTGGATCGCTCGGTAAAAACGAGAGTTCTGTATGAACAAGGAATCGGCGAATCGTACAGAAACAGACTTGGCACCCATTTGGTTTAGATGAATCTAGTGCCGCTACCGATACGCAGCTCTCTCCTTCTTCGAGTGGTGATGCACGTTGCCGGATGAGCTCGAATCGCTCAACTGAGTTGAAGTGCATCTTTCCATCAGTGGTGACTAGGCACTGGAAATGCTAGCCTAAAAGCGGTATGCGGCGCGAACTATGATAAAGATTTGTTGAACTGACTTTCAGATCTGCCTGCCTTACAGATATCTGACATGAGTGACCAACGTGCCAACTTCCTCGATGGCTGAGGAAAGCGCAACGAATGTATGCGTGACTCCACCAAATACGCACGCTAGTCCTCCGACTTTTGTTCACTCCAGGTGTGTCTATCTTCCCAACAGAGTGGTGGGCTGACAAGTGTGCAAAGGTGTCCTGGCCATGTCTGTGTTGATACGAACCAATCAGTGATGAAAAATTGGATTGGAGATTTTCCACCTGCCTTTTTGATGTTGCCGGTTCTCCATGCCAAGAGCGCCAAGAGCGCCAAGATGTCCGGCTGCGCTCGGGCCTTCGGGAAGCTCGGTACTTTATTTGTGTTTAAGAGTCTTGGCAGCCTCGCAACTTTCTTCGTCTCCGCCAACTTTTCAAAAAGGCAAATTTGTACAACAACTAACACAAACAGCGCATGCTTCAGCACAAAAATATTGCGAAGCGGGTGCATCAGAGGAGAAAAAACTGATATGATCGTCAGCAGATCGGACAAGCCCGGGTGGAAAATTCGCTCCTATGAGTCGAGTGTCGGTAGGTACTTGTACGTGGGGAAAGACGTGGGTGGAAACTCTGGCGAAAGATAAGATCCTGTTTATACGGCCGTATGCAGTCAGCCCGCTTCCCCGACTGCTTCCTCCGTTCTGCACATTCTTAGCCTCTTCATTCAATTCTCGATCGAGTGCTTATAGGGTACGTAGGAACATGTGTAGTTCCATGCAGGCTGTCAAGTGTCATGCAGCTCTCATGCGCACGAACGGGCCAGCAGATAACACTTGCCAACCATTACGCGAGAATGCTACCTCGCTCGCCTGGCGCATGCAGCCTGCCAGCCATCCGATGTACCTACCTACTAAGCACACGTCTACCTACCTACCTACGATGATCTCTCAGCTTGCAGATTTCACATTCATTACAGCGCTGCTCATTCCTACATACACAATCTCTTCTCGGCTTCATCGGCAGATAGCCTCGCGCAATGGTCTCTTCTCCGTAATCCTCCTCGGCTCTTTGCGGTAGTGCCAAGGGTGAAACCACTCTTGAACTGCGAAGTCCGCTCCTCTAGTCTTCCTCTCCCTTGCCAAGCACCGACGACATATGAACTACTCCTCACACCATTGGCAATATGGACAATTACGAGAAAGTCCGATCGTCTTCACAGTCTCCTCGGTCTCCGCTCTCGCCAGGTTCTTCCCGCTTTGATACTCGTCCCCAATGGCGACAAAATCGAGTTTGCTATGTCCTTGAAGGCCTTGGCACTTTGGTCGTGCTTCGCCTACGATCGTTGATTATCATTGCGCTGCTTCTCATCATCACGTCTGGTGTCCTCACCCTGAAACCAGTACGTCCTCCGAGCGACCGAGGCCATATATTGGTCCGTACCGGAAGCTTTGTCTAACTGATTCTCTCTCTCTAGTTGCCTTCTAAATACACCACCATTCCCGCCAACACCACCTGGGCCAGCGATGAAGCCTCTAAACCCTACAAACCGATCGCCCCACCAGACCACCCCCTTCACATCCTGATACCTGCAACAAAACAGGATATCAATCTGTGCAAACTCCTGTTCTCCGGCTCCATCCTCGGCTACCCCACTCCAGTCATCACAGGATGGGGAGAAGACTTGGACGAGAGTCAACGAAAGGGGATGACAGGGGGTGGAAGTCATCTACTGAAGATATCTCGAGTTCTCGAATACCTGGGCAACCTCGGGACGGAGCACGATCAGGACCTTGTATTGATGATGGATGGCTACGATATCTGGTTTCAGCTTCACAAAGATCTCCTCATAGAACGCTATTACCAGATCAACGCTGAAGCCAACAAACAAATCAAAAAGCGGATGGGCAGAGCTGCTAAGATCGCAGGCATACAGCAGACCATTATTTTCGGCGCCGGCAAACGGTGCTGGCCCAACGAGATTCACACAGTAGCGTGCTGGCCACTTCCACCATCACCTCTGCCCGACGACATGTTTGATGGCAATACCGACAATCCAGTCGGATCCCGCCCAAACCCATGGTCTACCACTCGCCAGAAATTTCTCAATTCGGGTCTCATCATGGGTCCTGTCGCTGATATGCGAGCCGTGTTCGCCCGCGCCGAAGAGATAGTGGAAAAGTTGGGTGACGACCCAGAACCGGACGACAACGGTAGCGAATGGAGCCAGAAGGTCTACCACAATAGCGACCAATCCGTCTTCAACATGATCTTTGGCGAGCAAGAATACCAGCGGGAGGTCATCCGAGTTCGTCACATCTCATGGCTCTTCAATCCCATCCAAAAGCTCCAGCAATTCTTCGGGAAAGACCTGTCAGATACCGACTGGGTCTTGGAGGGCACGCGGATCAAGAATATCCTGAACCCACCGTGGAAACACATGGAGGTAGAGCACCTCGATGGAAAGCCCCTTGAGTTCAGCATAGGCCTTGATTACTGGTCTGACATAACCTTCCAAACCGCAAATTCGGAGCGTAATGGCGGATGGATGAGCTACAACCAATCCCTCGAACCACAAGTCCAGCACTGGGATCGCTGGGACTGCAAACCCCATCTGCGCCCTCTGCCTGCGGATGTGATGAGTTCGCAGCCACCCTTCTTCAATCAGGGAAACGACAACCGCGCTCTCTCAGTCAACGCAAGCTGGAATGATGTTCCCCTTTACACCCATTACTGTGACGGTGTTGTACCGGTCATGCTACATCACAACGGTGACAAAGCCTCGAGAAGCAACAGGTGGCATAAGATGTGGTACTACCCGTATGCGGAGGCTATGTTCCGGGCACAGGAACCGAGACAAGTGGAATCGCTTGTGATGGGGAAGGTCGGCAAGGAGTCGGTGGGGCCGGGAAGTGCATTCAATGATAAGGGTGAAATTGTGGAGTTTGAGAAGGCTTGTCAAGGCTGGGACTTTCACTGAGGAGAGTGGCCCGAGATCTGTACCAGGATGATGTTACGTTGCTATCATGGGAGTTCTGGGGTGTGTAGACGTAGGTAATGATAGACACATGTAATGACTTTCTATATATAATCAATCCCTACCACAACTCATACCAAGATACCATTGCCCATTGCCCCATTTTTTTTTTTTTTTTTTTTTTTTTTTTTTTTTTTTTTTTTTTTTTTTTTTTTGGTTTTTTTTTTTTTTTTTTTTTTTTTTTTTTGGGGGAAGGGGAGTGTTTTTGGGGTGGGGGGGGGGGGGGGGTGTGGTTGGGTTGTTTTCCCGGGGGGGGGGGGGGGGTGGGGGGGGGGGGTTGCCTGGTTAGGTTTTTTTGGGTTTTTTTTTTTGTGTGTTTTTTTTTTTTTTTGGGTTTTTTTTTTTTTTTTTTTTTTTGGGGGGGTTTTTTTTTTGCGGAAATAAAATTATATTTTTATATAAAAAAAAAAAAAAAAAAAAAAAAAAATTTTTCCTTTTTTTTTTTTGTTGGGGGGGGGGGGGGGGGGGGGGTTTAGGGGGGGGGGGGGGGGGAGGGGGGGGGGGGATTTTCCGTGGGGGCCCTTCTCTTTTCCCCCCCGCAGCCTTTTTGTCTCGGGTAATCTTACTTTTGTAGCCAGTAATCGGCACGACTATGGTGCAATCAGGGGCTGGATTGTTTCAAAAAATTGTTTCAACAGCCGATCAACAAAAAGCATCTGTAAAATAACACACGTATGCAGCACCAAAGTAATCCACTGCATACTCGGAATCCACCATGAGACGAGGCTGCAAGGCTGATGGCATCATAATAATAATACCTAATCTCCCTTCTCACTTTTGTACGAAAATGTTCACAGATACCAAGGTCAATCTTCTCCGCCCCTTGGCTAAATCGCCAAGAATAAGTCTGTTTGTTTTCGAAACGTCGTGCATTCAGCGAGTTCGACGGCGTTGGTCGTGGTCTCTTCAGTCCTTGTGCCCTTCTCATCCGTCTTCGTAGCTCTGCGATTTAAAGGCCGGAAGAGCACAAAAGCTGGCCTAGGCCTGGACGATTACACCATTCTAGCAGTGGGGGTGAACTCCCCCAGTTCACGATTTGAGGGACTTGCTGTGCCGATACCAACATTTGGAAGATCGTCCAATATGCTGATGCAGCCGTGACGATATTCGGCGCTGTCGCAGGTGGCGACGGAGACTCGGTAATACATCTCGTAGAGCATCCATCGGAAATGGCCAAATATGCAAAAGTGCTCTTCTTTCCGAACTTACTTCTTGTACACTGGCTGATATACTCTTTGGAAGATACATTACACGGGCCCTCTGGTTTTTGCCATCATTATAGCCCTGGTCAAAACATCGACACTGGTTCTCTACAAGCGGGTTTTTGTCAGGACGCACTGTCATCTCGCCTGCGACGTGATGATGGCATTGACGGTGGCCTGGCTTTTGACATCCATGTTTGTTGGTACGTTGCTAGCAATGGGATTGGACCTATCTAACAAAGACATCAACCCATGGTGAGATGTTCGAATATAAACCTGTCTCAAAAGGTCCGAAAAATCCAGACGGCCCTTTTGTTATCAACTATACTGGATTTCTGCTCTCAATGACTGCGATCAACATAATTCTGGATGCCATCGTCGTTTGCATGCCTCTGTCTGTGATACAAACTTTGCACATGTCCTCAGCCCGCAAGCTCAGGTGTCTGGAATCTTTCTACTGGGCTTGTCGTAAGCTCTGTCGATTCTGCTATACTTCATGCATATACTAACAGTGCCTCTCCAGCTGCGTTGTTACCTCAGCGGTACGGGTCTAATATTTTGGAATCTTGAATGACGTAGCCAATGGACCGGAGACCGAAAGCCAGCGTAAGCCTCACCTGATTTGGAAAAACAACAAGGCTGGCTCGACTGTCACTATAACCATAATTTTCCTTATCGAAGCACAAACATCCAACAACACTGCACGTTTGCCGACCCTAGCACCGCTATTTCACAGTAGCCGACACGTAGCATCTGAAGCCCGAACATGGCGGTCGATGCTATCTCTACGACCCAAAGTAAAGATAAAGTCGTCTATGGTTTATAGCACGGACGTTGAGCAGGCGAGTAAAGATAGTGGGCGCCCCTGGGAGTACTCAGTATTAGATTTAAGTTACAAGGAAACAGTGGCTGGTAACAGCAACGTGGAGCTGAAAGTGATGGACGTCGTGTAATATTCGCTGTATCGTATGATATATTGATTATAAGCATAACGTTGCTAGGCAGATTTGAACGGGTAAGGCGCTATAAGTAATATTACTGCCCGACTACCGATTTACTAATCAATACATCTCAATACTCCGTCGATTAGTGACTATAAGCGTTGACCAGGGTAAAACATGACTTCGGTGCACTGGCTGCTACCTCCGTTTTGGTTGAGTTCCAGAGAGTCTTCTGTGCCCACTGGTATTTTTGTCGTTCATCTACTTCTCCTCTTGACCGTTTTCTAAGCCTTCTTACCACCAATTCCAGCCTGAGTTTTTAATCGGCCAACGCGGCCTTTCTCTCTTGTGCTCCCGTACGAGATGCCCAATCAGTGACTGCTATCAACTCAACGTCAATTCTAGCATTCCAGAAGTTGCAGTGTTTGCTCGTGTTGGAAGTCGCTTTTCCTAAGCGCACGGCGCCTACACACGCTATCATCATTACACACCAGCCTCGCTTGCTCTAAGCTTGTAAGTCACGCTTGACAGCATCTCATGTGGTCTATGAAATACCTCACCCCCTATTTTGACCGATCATTTGAGAACAAAAGTTAGCGAGTCTGGCCAGGGAAAATGCTAATTGAGGCTAGAACAATTTTAAGCGAGCTGCAGCACCCTTGGTCCGGCTTACGCGCATATGGTAGGACTCCATATCGGCATCTAATACCTCACTCTCTGCACACATGACACCTCAGTCTCTGAGAAGGAGGCAAATTTCACGGATGCGGGTTATATTACCCTCAAAGCGTCACAGGTATAAAGCAAATGCCAATCTGCCGATAAAAAAGGGAAGCATCACTCGTCCCAAGCACACCTTCCACAATGGTTTCCCTTCCCGACATCATCCATCTTGGCACCATTGTCATCCTCCTCCTCCTCCTCTCAGCCGTACAATCGACCGTCCTCCTCCCGAAACCAAGCGGCCCCTACAACACACGCATCACCACCGCAGAATTAGTCGACAAAACCCGCCTCGACCCCTTCGCTCCAAACCGCACCCAGCGAGCCATCATGGTCACCGTCTTCTACCCCATCAAAACCCCTCCGAATAGGACCCACTCCGCACCGTGAACTACATGCCCCTCGCCACCGCTCAATTCTGGGACCAAGAATTCTCCTCCTACGGCATCACAAACGCAACACTCGAGAACTTCCAAATCAGCACCTGTCGCCCCGATGCCCCCATCTCGCCACCCAGCCACAACAACTCCCACCCCATCGTAATCTTCTCTCCCGGCATGGGCGCAAGCCGCCAGCTGTACAGCGCAATGGCCGCCACGGTGGCGAGCACCGGCTACGTCGTCCTAACCATCGACCACCCCCACGACGCCTTCATCGTCGAATACCCGACCAGCCCCCCAACCTACGCCGCCAATATCAGCAGCGCTGCACAAACCTCCCTGGACCTCGCGGCCCGCGCCTCCGACGTCTCGTTCCTCCTCGACCAACTCGGCGCCGACGATACCGTCCGCGACGTCATCCCCGGCGCAGCCCGCGGCCTCGACGTCCGCCGCGTCGCCATGTACGGGCACTCGTTCGGCGGGGCGACAGCCGCAGCGGCGATGCTTTCGGACCACCGCATCGCGGGCGGGCTGAACATGGACGGGACGTTCTACGGCGCCGTCGTCGAGCGGGGGCTGGATCGGCCGTTCAAGCTCTTCAGCAATCCGAAAAGCACGCCGAACCAGACCTTCTACGGCGATGACTCGTGGGCGGAAACGTGGCCGCGGCTGCGGGGATGGCGACGGGAGCTCGCGCTAGCTGGAGCTGCCCACGATACGTTCTCCGACATCCCGCTGCTGACTAAATTGCTGGGACTGTCGCCGTTCAGTGCGACGAGCGTGACCGGCTCCGTGCTTGGAACGATAGACGGGGTCCGAGGGTTCGACGTGATCACGGCGTATGTGGTTGCTTTTTTGGACTTTGTGCTGAAAGGGGTGGAGTCGGAGCTTCTGCGGATGCCGAGCCCGCTCTATCCCGAGGTGATCCTTGTGAGGTAGACGGCCTGAACGGCGTGCAGTCTGGATAACTGGCCAATCGTTCTTCAAGACAGGAGCAGTCGCGATAGAAATTGTATGATTCTAAACCTTGTCCTTCGTGTTAACGTTGAGAATATTTGGAGGGACTCCAACCACTACAACTCCCACTTCTTGTGACGTCCTACTTAGAACCAGCCTCATACTCCACTGCTATGACCCCAAGTAGTGTCGATAGCGCACCGCACTACCGCGGCATATCGGTGTCGAATTCTCTCTGCATCGACCATCGTTTATGTTATTTCTCACAGCACTAATAGTTGATAGGAGTTGTCTAGCCAATAAGGCTAGTGGGCCTTAGTCACAGTAGACATCAGGCTCTACACCAGTCACCCTTCTACCTTTAGACATACCTCGTTGGCTCCTCTTATTTCTCTAACGGGACGAAAAGGTAACCTCCGGGATTCAATCCCTCATGAACTGACAATTATCGTTATACCATCACCTTGAAAATGTCGCACGTGATGGAGGTAGTAGGCCCATGGTCAAGGAGAATGACAGTCGCAGCAGAACAACAAGTTGAGTAATAATGTGGTAGTTCGTCTCATTGCTGGATATCTATGAGACTTAACATCTCGAGTAACGCTACAAACTATGACTTCCTCGTAGAATGTCATATATCTCTCGGGTCTCAAACCCGCCGCCAATGCTCCCACAAGTATTCGCTCCTCCCGTGACCGCCATCTTGCACTCCTCTCCGCCGCAAATGCACTCACTCCTTCCCAGCCAGGACGCTGTACTGTCCGCCAGCGCCAGCCCAAACCAACTTCTTGTCCTTGACAGCCTTGTTCTCGATGAGGGTCGCGAGCCCGACATCATCCGTATCTCCCAGGCCCAGCTGGCCGCTCACACCAAAACCCCAACTGTACGCTTTGCCTTCATGAGTCACCGCAACGCAGTGATCGGAACCCGCGGCGGCGTGGACAGCATTGATACCAGGTACCTGGGTCGCACTCTTGAGTATTCTTGGCTTCTTTTGCGCATCACGTATGATGTCGTGTTCAGCAAGGCTGTCAACGCTCAGGCCAAGGGCGTTTGTGTCAACACGACCCCACGTCAGGCATGCACCACCGTCTGTGACCGCGACACTGTGATGATTTCCACCACTGATGCTGGTGACTTTCCCGTGGCCTGTCAGACCATCGATCGACTGCGGACGCAGAATGTTGGCGAAGTCCTCTCCGTCGCGTTCATCAATGCCAGTTTGGCAGTAGTTGTTTGCTCCCCAGCCGTATACAATGCCGTTTCGATGGATGGCGAATGAGTGGTCCGCACCAGCGCCGATGTCCATGACGTCTTTTGGCAAGCCAAAGGTTGCGGGGACAAGTCCACTCTGTTGGAAGCGAGCATTGATGCGACGGCCCAACTGACATTGCTCACCAAATCCCCAGGCGAAAACGCAACCCTTGTGATCAAGGGCGAGTGCATGGTTACTTCCAGCAGCGATCTTCGTGATGTTTCGCAGGCCAGATATGAGGGTTGGTCGGTTCTGGACTGCCATGTCTGCAGAGAAATGTAAAGCGCCGTCGCTTGTCTGAGCATAAGTATTAGTGACTCGTTCAGGAAACGGGGAAGCAGAGTACTTTACCTTGAAGGTTCCCCAGCCATAGACCAGACCTTCCTCAGTAAGAGCAAAGGTTGCATTGTCACCAGCAGCAACTTGCGTGAACACTGTGTTGGCTGGGAAGCAGGAACTGTCAATTGCGGTTGGCGATGATTCTTTTGGGTTGAGCTCGCTCTCTGAATTGTCGCTATCTTGGTCGTGGTCTCCGCCGTCCATGTCCTTCCAGCCGCCGCCCCATTCCGTGTCTCTTCCCAAAGCACCGTGGTCATTGACTCCCCACGTAAGGATCTTGTTGTCGTTCCTGAGAGCTACACAATGCATGCCACCTGTTGCCATTTGGACAACCCCGACGAACGATGCAGAGAGGTTTGGGTTCAAACGAGGCCTCACAACATCATCGGTGGAGCATTTGGGCCCGAGTCCGAGTACGCCTGAATCGCCCGACCCGAAGACGTACACATTCAAGGTATCAGTGGCGCGATGGTTGAGAATCAGCTTGGGTTTTGGGGCGCGGGTTGTGGATTTAGATGCAGCTTTGGAGGAGTTGAACTTGCGCGACTTGGTGACAGCAGAAGAGGATCCCAGCTCCTCAGCCTTGCGCTTGCTTTTGCGAGTATTGTTGTTTTCTGAAGCTGCAGTCTGAGATGCAAATGATGCTTTGGAGGCAGTTTTGGAAGCAGTGGTCGCTGTCTTCTTCGTGCCAGACAATTTCTTTGGCGCAGCCATTTCGATAGTAATTGTTCTGGTGATATTGAAGTAGATTGTGCAGATGTGTGCAATGGTACGAGAGTGTTTGAGACTTGCAGAGATATCTGTGCTTTGGAATTGAGTGGAAGTGAGGTTGATGTTAAAAGGTTGGGAGTAAAATGTGAAAGATCATGTTTAATATATGGTAATGGCGCACAAGACGTCGGGTGGAACAATAGACTCCCAGCCATCAATAAGACAAGCGGCAGGACAATAAGATAGGGGTTGAATGAAGTCAAGAATGTGTTAATAGTACCGGAATGAGCTATTCGTGAATAGACAAAGGGAAGTGAATCGAGACCCTGAATGATTCTCACCAATCAAAGGCCGAACAACCACCGCTTGCTGTTGGCCCACTTATTTCTCGCAACAACGATGCCAGATATATGATATATATAGGAGTGTAAGAGTAACTTCAACATATCCCAAAGCTGAAATCAAATGCAAGATTGTTTTGACCAGTCTTGGCGCCTGCGGGCACCAAGGGAGCCCTAAAACACGGCAGTTCGGCTCTTAGACGGGATTTGCAGATCTTCTCCTCAGCGTCTCACCGGCTACTACAGTACGACTGCTCTCTCTCCTCTGAGGGAGTGTGTACACGGAGATACTATGTCTATAAATTCTACATAGCTGTCATCTATATTGCGAGTGATGCATACAGAGTGTCTTGACCCTGGCGCCGCCCCGGCGCTCCTGTCTTCAAATCTCCAGCACTATTGAAGTCATACAACTCCTTCAGCACGAGCGTGAGTGCTTCTATTTCCGAGGCCCAACGCATGACGACAAACTTGCGTTCTTCATGATGCACTTTAGACGGAACGACAAGAAAGTGTGAAGCAGAGAAGAGTCACATCATGTACAGTCGCCCGCGGCTTTTCGCCCTCTCTCTCCCACCGCCTACATTTTCCTTCATTTCATACCTGGTACAACCCGCACCGTGCCAATTCTCCCGCAGGCACAATCGCCCACAACCCAAACAGTCCCTGCGCCCGCTCATGCACAGCCTGGATCTTCAAGCCGAAATCCATCTGATGCCCGGCCCGCATACCCGTCTGCGCCCGAACCCCTTCGTACGCATGGCACATTTCGTGCAACGCCGTCGACCACATGTGCATCCACGGGTCCCGGATCACGTCGCGAAGGAGAAGGTTGTGCGCGTGCAGCATGATGCTCATTTGGCCGACCCTGCCGGTTCCCACCGTCGCGCCCAAGGCGAAATCTTCGGGCTGCACGTGGGTGACAAAGGCGTCGGGCGTCCGCCATTGGAACTGGACGTTGTGATGGAGTCGGCCGAGGAAGAATATCATGTCGAGATCGTGGAAGGCTTTGATTACGATGTCGGGACTCCAGAGACTGTCTTTCAATGCCGAGCGGAGACGCTGAATGGCTGCAAGTTCAGCAGATGATGGCTTTCGGCTCGGTTTGTTGTGTTCCACGACTTCTTTCGTCGCTTGGCTTTGGCTTACGAAGGGTCCAAAATTGCGGCCAGAAAATGTGCTCATTGCATCGAGCTCTTCCTGGCTGACATCGTAAGGGGTTCCTCGATCGGCCTTGACTTTCAAGAAGGCTTCCCGATAGAGCTCCTTGTGGGACTTTGTCGGCATCATGGATTTTCCTTAAAGTTGGACTGGTGCGAGTCCTTTGCTGTAGACTGCGGATTGGTTTGTCGATGTTGGACCGGCTTGCGGTGATGAAGAGAATGAACGTTTCCACCGATAAAGACCTCTACAGTTATTTCGGAGATGTTTTAAGGCTTGTGTTTTCGACCCATGTACTGCTTTTGCTGTGCACAATGAAGCGCCCTTTGTACCTTGGGGAACAATGGTCATTATGCCGTTGGATGGGGCTTTCGAAGCCACTCGGCTGGACAGGTAGTCCAGTCTCGTGATCCAGACGCGAGAAGGCTTCGCGGTACCTCCGGTACCATGCGAGATCTGCGGGTATAGTGTCAGGCGTGCAAGATACTTGAAATTTCATATTGACATACTCGTCTTCTTTTCATAAGTATGATTGGTGCCGCGGGCTGCATGCATAGTGATTATTCCGAAATATGATCTACCGTCTCCTTGTGAGTCTTTCCCATAGACTACTCTCGTCAGCCCTTTTGTGATACTACCTCGCCGACGCCTACATTCGAATGGAAGCAGTCGAATATTGACCTCAAAAGGCGGCAGACAGACTGATATCAGATCCACAGATCTCTCCTCGGTTCGGTCTCGCCTCGGTATGATCTCCCTTGACCCTCCGAGGACTTCACCATCGAGCGACGTACGACATTGATTTCTCGGCGAAGAAGTCTATCCGGAAGCGTGGAATCATCAAGCCAAGAGACTTGTTTGTGCTGCTATCCAAATTAGTATTGCCTGGATGCGCGCGAGAACATCTCTACTACTCGCCTAGTCTTTGTCTTTGTGGTAGTTGTTATACACGTCACCTTGTGGCAATCCCCAGCGCCTACCCCATCTACCTATTTCGATGACCTTCGAGATTATTGTTGATGATAGCAATGGCAAGATTCTGCCCTTCCATCGGGTGATCGTTAGTGTAGCCTCGTTCTCGTTCCTGCTTCCAACAAACCACAAGGATGTTTTGATATTTGAGAAGACTGGTATAGACATGCCTGGAGGCGTTGCTCTTCACGCTGATGAGAAGGAGATGTCGCGATGGCTATGCGGCTGGGTCCCGCTCTGGACAGTACTCGTTGTAATTTGCAAATAGTACATTTGTTCTTCATTTTATTCGCACGCGTTCCTAAAGCGGATATCACGAGATTTTCAAGTGCATACGCTACCAGTTTCTCACACTATTCTCCTTCCGTCCTCTTCTTCTCCCAAATCCACCCACCCAACCCTGACCCCAGATCAACCAATTCAGAACCCCCAGCCATCGTCGCCGCAATCTCCTTAATACTCGCATTACTCAAGACTAACACGCCCGATACCTCAGTCTTCAACTCCCTCTTCGCCCACCCTCTGAGCTCGATCGCAACCAACGAGTCCAACCAAAGCGCGTGAATCACTTTATTCTCGTCCACACCACGGACATCCGACCAGTCGAGTAGACCAATTTCGCTGCTTTGACGACGGCCGTGGCAACATTCATATGACTAGCTTCACGCAGACGTCTTTTTAGCTGCGACGCATCGCCGCCAGTAGCGCGGGCTTCCTTTATCTCTCTGGAGTCGACAGTGTTCAAGGACGAGAATTTGGCATCGTTCGTCCAGCCAAAATCCATAGCGCCACTGCGCTCAATCATGCCTCCGGTCCCAACCCCCGTGATGGTTTGACTCGGGACGCTCGTCTCATCTCTACCGTATACCATCCCAGTAATAGCGGCCTCGAGCACGATGTGCAGCTCTTGTTCCCTCATGCCCTCGAACCTGGAGTTGCGCAGTTTGAACATATGTTTCCACTTTTCGGCGACAACGCCAATGTCACGCATTCAGCCTAGATCGATTGACGTCGCTGCTTGACCTCTTGCTCGGCGATGGAGTGCAAGCGCGTCTTGATAGGCGTTGGCGGCGGCATAATTGGCTTGGCCGCAGTTGCCGGTGATGCCTACGAAAGAGGCGAGCATGATGAAGAATGCCATGTCATGCGGAAGGCAGGAGTGCAAGTTCCAGCTTCCCTGAACTTGGGGCGCTATAACGGCTTGCCAGTTTTCGGCGGTCGTGTTTTCGAATGTGGAGTCGTGAAGGTTCATCGCACATTGGATAACGCCGCGGATTGGAGGGAAAATAGAAGCGCAAGATGCAATAGTCTCTTCGATTTGACGAAGACTGCTGATGTCGCATTGATAAACGCCGGTCTTGATGCAAGCTGACTGAAGAACGTCGGACACTTGGGACCGCAGCAATTGAATCTGAATTCTAGGCAATGGAGCAGCTGCTTTGTGGGTATTCACGGTACAAGTCCCCCACCATGTGGCGCTAATCGAGAGTTCCATAGGTGAGCTCGAGATGAATTTTGGAGAATACGATTTTTTCTATCCAGACGGTGAAATAGACACCACACCCACGAGCGGTGAGTCAGACGAGGGCTTGTGATCATAAAACGGTTCAGTAAGTCGGAACATTCGCTGAATCTTCGTATAACAGATGTTCCAAAGCTATACCCGCCTCCGTATCGATGCTTCTACGAGGCAAAGCCCAGCGTGTCGCAACTGCTTCGAGCCCACGAGTACCTTACCGAGGTTGTGGAGGAAGACGGCCTTTTGAGAGTATATTGGGTTTTTCACAAGGCGCCAAAGTCGCTGCATCTCTCCTGCTCTATCAAGCGTGGGAAGTGCATTTCAACTTCGCTGTCTTCAGTGGCGGTACAAAGTCATTCGATGTCTCTGCCCTCGCTTCTGGGAAAATCTCAAAACCCGTCAAGATGTGTGCAGACACACATTCTACGAGGATAAGAATTCCAACCGCCCATGTGATTGGGAGAAGCTACGCTTGTCGTAAATCCTCGAAAGCGTTCTTAGGGTTGTGCAATCCGCGGGAGGTCAAGGTGTATGATCATAAAGGTGCGCATGTTGTGCCGAGAGGACAGGAGGCGATGGAGGACTTGTCAGCTGCTCTCAATTGGGTGGTCGATCGAGCGATGTATCAGTGAAATAAGCGTATTGCGAGAGTTGAAGGGAGGGAGAGACTGAGTCTCAAAGAGGCGACAACCAGTTGTTTTGATCCATGCCAGGAGCTGCCAGTACTATAACCGTAATGAGGCAACTGCAACGACGGGGCCTCGAGTTCAATACTTACAAAGCTCAGTGTGGGATACCATCTTCGGACGCCCGCAAGCTTTTTTCTGTCTTATTTTGTGGCTCTATGATTCCTGCCTATACCGAGATATCTATGTGAAACACGACCTCAGAATGCTGCATGAGATGTTCGAACGTAGCAGGCCTCTTTCCCTACTGAGATAAAGTCGACCTAACTCATCAGGAGGTAGAATGACTTTTTCTTTGGAGTATTGTATGTGGTCTTTGATGTTGTCTCACGCATTCATGAAGATTCGATCATATCCTTAGCGCGTGCACTTGTCCAGATCGGTCAAAGTATATCGGAGCTGAGAAGGCCTAGCGGCATCATCTTCAGCCTGATTGGGAACTGTTACCTAACTCTCTGAAAGGCCAGTCTGGACCGACCTGCAGCGGCTCAACTCATGATGGCTCTCGATAGGTGTACCTCGTTACTACCTATTTAGATCTGTGAGAAGGTGCTGCTTTCACTTGGCAGTTGGAGATTGTTGACTGCTACGGCAAACCATACATGGCCCAGATGATGTTCATGGCGCCCTTTGAGCCATTCGTGACAAATGCATGCACGGGGTACCCGTCTGCGTTGGACAAACACGGCGCGGTTTCAGGGGTAAAGTTTGATGATATACGTGCCAATGGAAGATGCCAGATGGTCCGAGACCGCCCCGTCAGGTATACAGGAACGAACATAAGAATTTGGGCCACCATGAACGCAGTACTCTAGCATCTTTAGACTTTTGGAAACGCCAATTCCACTTCATGAGAGCAAATTCGGAGAGAGTGATGTTGGGAGGCAATGGAAAGTGGTAAGGATCGCGAACGGGTATGCGAGCAATTGGACCATTTTGGGTAGGTAGCAGACTCTTGATATTGACACTATTCACCAAGCTGTACATCTTTTTCATCATTGCCAATAAGATGCGCAATACACCGCCGTACCAAGATACTTGCTATCAAGCCCAGCATACCTGCTTCGACAAGCCAGGCGCGACTTATGCTCCTTTGACAGCAAGTAAATCCTTCAAGTCCATATCCTTGGTTGTCTGCTCCCTCACAAAATCAGCCACCGGATTGACCAAATGGCTACGATCAGCTTTCGTGCCAACGTGCACACGGAAATGTCTCTTCCCGTACGGCTTCCCCACCGCATCAACAATCGCCTTCGCCACATCCTCCGGGTTCGAATCCTTCGGCTCGACAAGGATGTGTCCATCCAAGATGCGCTGGTGATAACCCTTGTACGCTCCTTCCTCGTACTCAGCATTGACCGCCTTGTCATCGGGCGTTGCAGCGTAGGCGAAATGGCTGGTCCCCTTGCTTCAAGCTCCTGGCACGATGATGGAGGTTTCGATGCCCCAGAGAGTCAGCTCGCCTGCATAGCAGACAGCAAGCGCATCCATGCCGGCCTTGGCTGCGAGATAGGGGCCAAGATAGGGCGGGACACCGCCTCGGGCGCTGCTTGAGCCGACCCAGACGAGCAAGCCTTTGCCCGCTTTGCGCATGTGAGGAAGCATAACGCGATTGAGACGGTGGGTCCCGACGCAGTTCACATCGTATTCGGACATTAGCTGCTCCGGGGTAAAAGCCTCGCTAGGTCCAAAGCTCATGTGGCCGGCATTATGGATCAAAACGTCGATTTTGCCCGCTTCTTTCAAGACCTTGTCGATGCCATTCGTAAGGGACTCTTCACTAATGACGTTCAAGGCCACAGGGCGCATGTCGACCTTTTCCTTTTCGACAAAGGATTCGATGTCTTGGACGGAGGCGTTGCTGGGGGAGGGATCACGCATGCCAGCGTATACTATATGACCGGCTTTAGCGAGGGCTTTGGCGGACATATTGCCGAAACCGCTGGAAGCACCAGTGACGACGATGACTTGGGACATCGTTGAGGAGTATTTTGAGATATAGATGCTGAACCGCTTCTTGGGCCGGAAGGTGTCAAGAGAAGATATTTGGGCAAAACAGTAGACTTCTTGGTTTGTAGACAGAGGAAAATAACAATCGACGCGGAAATGCCTTATCTTTTACAGACCGCAAACATTTTGCGGTATGGATCCACCTCAAAGGAGATACTATGTAGAGGCCGTGTACAATGGCAATGATGGTCCGAGGGTCCTCGAGGATACGAAGATGGCGGCGGCACGGCTCGACGGTTAGGCTTGATAGGGTAATTGATGATAGCTGACTTCGTATGTCCGCAGCCATGTGAGTAGGACCTTGTCAGAGCCCACTGTGTCATTCGCTCGGTTGATTGATCAGGAAGTGTGAAGAAAGAGAGTGGAGGTAAGGAGTATTCTCGGTGATACCGCTAATTGAAAACCTCAGTCGGACCGAATGAGCATCAATGTTGGAGTTCCGATGCCGGTGAAAGTCTTGAAAACATTGTATTGTTAAAGCAAACCGGAAGGACTGTCTCCGTGATAGCGAGGACGCATGATTACCTATTAGGACATTCATTTCTTCAAGGCTGCGACCAAAGGCGTTCTAGGTTGCTCCGAGACTTAATTTGGTAGGTTTTGAAGGCTTGCAGTCATTGCCGAGGGAGTGATCGAGAATACGTGGAGTCTCTTCATCATCGTCATCGATACAATTGGCGTTGTAGGAGAATCTAACAACCTAAAGTAAGGTATATAGGCTTTTCGCTATGGGAGTATTACCAGACCGCTGAGGAACGCTCATCGAGGGGGCCATATTGCACTTATAGAACCATCGGGTAGGACTAACGTGGTGGCATTGTCGTGGAAGCTTTGAACCAATGATTCCTGGCGAGTACCTCTGTGGCAAGGCGTGTTTTGAGTGGGGCTTTCAGTCAGTCGACATTCCCAGGCATGGAGAGAGGGCGTTAAACCAAAGTCGAATGCATCACCAATGAAAGTAATATATGTCAACATATCGCTCATTGCGCTGGTAAGTCCGCAACCACTGGTGGATCTCCCCCAATTGGTGAATTTCCTCCTATCGGTGGATTTCCATCGACTGGTGAATCTCCTTCCAATAGCGGATTTCCTTCGACTGGCAGATTTGCTTCGACTGGTGGGTTCCCTGCGAATGGTGGATTCCCTTCGACAGGAGATTCCAATTCAACTACTTGATCACCTTCAACAGCTTGGGCTCCGTCCTGTAAAAGGGCTGCTTCTAGTGCTGGGTCCCCTTCCACCGCTCCATTATCCCCCGTTGAGGGAAATCCTTCCGCTGCTGGGACTGCTTCAGCAGCTCTGACTTCCTCCGCTGCTGGAGCTCCATCCACCGCCAAGATATCATCCGCTGCTGGGCTATCTTCCACTTCGACATTCGCCTCTGCCTCAGCCGCCGCTTGATCTTCCGGGCGTTGAAGATGATCACTCTTCCAAGACCCCACGGACCAATGAAAAACCACAGCAGGCCAGTCTTTGGAATGGGCTCCCTCGACACCCTCACGTTCAGCTTCGGCAGTGCTCATTGCTCTGATGGGGAGGATGAGTATATCATCGATTAGCTTAGGCTCTTCCAGCATGGTTGCATCCTTGTGCGTAATCTTTTTGCCCGTCGCGCGTGATACATAGGCAAACAGCGCATTGGTGAACGCCCCCGGCCCAGTCGATTCGATGACCTCCTTATACGAAAGCTTCATTGTTGCGAGGGTTCTATACTGCTTCCGGGCCATCTCGAGGAGGTTTCTCGCAACCGACTCAGCAACAAATCGCATAAACGGGTGACGGGCTGTGCACATGAAAGTCCAATTGTTGATGCCCCAGATGTATTTCCGGTAGTCATAGTAAAGACTCGCATCGTTCTCCACAGGCATGCGGTCATTTTCTACGCCAATGACAACGCCGGTCTTGCCCTGGAAGGCTAGAGGGATCCACGTGTCGATGGGCTCCTGGCAAACTACGTCTAAATCTGCATAGACACCGCCTTCTGCCGCGAGGACAAGATAGCGCATGAAGTCAGCTCGGAGGATTTTGTCTGTGAGGTTCAGGAAAGTATCTCGGATCAGAGGGTCATCCGCGAAATGATGGCGTACATAGCTCTCCGCGCCATGATCAGTGAGCAATTCGTATCGATAGTGAGGATTCTTCTCCTGCCATGTCCGAGCTCGCTCTCTTTCCTCTTCGTCTAGAAGAATGGCGGAAGTATGCCATGTCTGCCAGACCTTTTTGGGTATCTCCTGGCCAGCAAGGGTGGCAGACTTGGATGAAATTGCATGAGACAGGGTATTAAAAGGGCCAGTGTTGCTAGGTGCAAAGTGATTGACGAGAAGAACTATCAATCCAACAACCGCCCCACACTTAAGGAAAAAAGGTAGTCTTCCCCGAATCATATTGGGGGGATTCATGATGATGAAAAGAGGTCGCCTCCGTGGCGACGAGACAGGTGGAATGGTGCTGAATGTACGAGAAAACTAATGCAAGACAAAGATGCAGAGTGATGTCGAAGTAGGAAGGTCATGTTGAAGGAAGGCCAATCGAAAAGGCCTGAATGGCGTTGTGGGTATGTCTAATGCAGGTTGGCCACCACCAAGCACCTCCGGGCGCTGAGGGCGTTTTCGATTGAGCATATTTTCCGGTTTTTTCTTATCGAGGCTTGCCAAGCCCGCTATGTATTTTGCAGGTTTAACCGAGGAAACGCTAAAAGTACATACCTTGCCACCTTGCAGAAAATAAAACCATTGTACCAGCGCCACGAACCTACCTACCGTAATACGAACTAAATACCCCCAACAACACGACCAACAACCAACAGGTGTCCGCCCTCGGACTACTATGACTAACGGGGAACATTTCGCTTCACAAATCAATAATGCGTCGCATGGGATTCGAACCTGAGCCCTTGCCAACACCGCTGCCAGAAGATTACCCCAACAACACCTTGCTGTACCGAGACCTCTGCTCTAGCGTCTGGAAGCTCCGACGGAAGGATTTACCGATGTACCCACACTCGCTCGTTACAGCTGCCAGTGGTATTCCACCCTCTCGCGGTGATCCGCCTTGACCCCTTCGGTAACCACATATTTTCAACTTTGGTTTTCAAACAGGGGTAAGATACTATGCCAAGAGTACACCCCGTAATCACTCGTAACACTTTCCTCGAGGATCTCTTCAAGGACCGTTAAACCCCATAATAATATAATTAATGACACGGGTCAATGTGCTACTAATGTGAACGCGATGGGGGACAGCGTCTCCGGCTATTGACCATTGACCAGCCTACTACCGCCTTGGTAAGATATGAGATCAAGAGAAAGCAGAACAACAGACATAATGTGAAAATGCTGAAGGGCTTCTTCATGCATGCAAGCAATGAGCTGATCTAGCCGATAGCTTCCACAGCCTCACTAATCCTTCGTCCAAGACTCAGTATGGCTCCCCATATCCTCGGCCTGCCCTAAGACTACTAGTGGAGATACTGCGGTACCGGCCAGAAATTGACCTCAATACCGCACCCTGATCCAGTTCACGACTCAGCGCAATTGGAGCCCCAATGCAACTCCATCGGGCGTATCTCGCGCCGCGCAAGTTCGAGATGGAACGGTTCTCAAACACTGCTCAACATCCCGTGTGCAGCAAAAATGTCAAAGAGCTGGTCTACGATGGAAGGCTATTTCGTGAGGAATACAGGGAAGCAGAAGCTTTCAAACCAATGCTGTCTTGACAGGCGCATTCTACATGGAGTCATACCGATCTGGGAGGTCATCTGGGAAGTCATCTAGGAGGTTTACGGAAAGTGACTGTCTGGAGAGTGAATTGGGACACTACTCGACTTACGGTAAAGAGCATATACATATACTGGACAACAAGACGGATTATCATACTCTACATGCTATCTTACGGCATATGCCCATCAAACGCATTATTGCACAGGACTCCTGCGATTGTTACCAGGCTCCCATCCACGCTACTGACCATTCATGATACGGGGAGATGGGTGAGCTCCGTTTGCCTGCAATCTTGCCTTCGAGCTGGGATGAGTTCCGGCTTCCGCTCGAGTGGGACCATCACGTTCCAGGTGTTTTGACCCGGGACTGCCGAGGCCTTGCTCATCTCTTCCATGCCTTTTCGGGACATTGCCACAAGATTGATGAGTTGCATATTGGTACTTCATGCAAAATGCAAAGTTACTAAGAAACTGGTTTAGCAGTATAATCATCGATGAGCAACATTCACGTCGGATTTTCCAGGGCTGGCGGACTGGGCCCCATCTCTCGCTGCTGGATTTTGGGTATATCAAAATAACGTAAGACGGTTTGGCTGCTATCATTGGGGCACAGAAGGACACTCTGTCGGACATTGGAGGCCAAAACGGATGGATAGGAAAGCCAGGCTCGTGGGAGGGCTTGGGGGATGAGATAGGCCGATTCCTGAAGCTTCAAGATGTGATGCTCAACGATCTGATACTCGAAGCTGAGGTGAGCATGATGAGGTCTATGCCTCTCTCAAGGGATCGATAAATAGAACTCGTCAATTGTACTATGCAATGGTCCCCTTCTGAGACGCTTGGGACGGGCCGGTGTTTGTCAGGCCTTCCGTTTCTGGTGGTTGTAAGCTTGAAGCCCCGGGGAGAGGATGTGCTCGATCACTGATCGCCATGGCCATTCACTGATTGGAGCTTTGATGGTAAAGGGGTTTGGCTTTTAGTTGCGTTGTAGCTCAGAGAGACAAAGTAACAGGCATCAATACCACTGCTACCAGACCATCCAGTCATTAGCTCGTATTACTTTCCATGGCCAGTCACCATTTTGAATTACAAACATCTCCGCGATACTAAGATCTCCATTCCCGTTGACGACTCTGGAATACTTGATCGAGTCATCGGGATAATTGAGTATGGTGTCCGGCAAGCTGGCAACGAAGGCGGCCTTCGATTAATGCGTCCGCAAAATCTTTATCTCGTAGCTTAGTAAATGCTACTTGCATTTAGGGAAGGAAAACCTGGAAGCATCGTTAGCAAATTCGACGGTTTCTCTCCTGTGGCTTCGCCTTCAAGCCTTGGTCTTTCACACTACCATTAATCCCATAGCCTCTACCAGCCTACCTAGTACGACCTCAAGCAATGCTCGATGCTCCAGTTAAAGAAGCAGCGTTCGAACACCTCCTTTACGAACTGAGATAATACAACAAAACCCCTACCCCCACAACCATCACCCCTCCAACCCACACCCATCTCAACAGCCCCTGCATCACTTTCTGCCTAAACAGCTCCTCCACCGCCTTACTATCATTCGCCCTCGGGAACGGCTCAGCCGGGACCTGCTTCCCCAAAGCCTCGCACAGCGGCCCCCACCCCTCCTTCACATTATACAACACCAACTTCTCCCTCGGCACGATCTTTCTCAGATAATCCATATGATACCCATATGTCTCCCTGACACACGTCTGATTCCCGTCCCGGAAATACAACTCCCCATACCTGCCCTCCTCCGCCGCTCGGACATACGTCGTGAAGAACCTCAGCGTGGGAAGCCAGTAGAACGCGAAGCCCAAGAAGCCCATTTTGCTGTTCCGGACGACAGGTTCCATACTGCGCCACCAATCGTCCGGATCCCGCGTCGTGCAGATGACCTTGGCATCCGGATACAGTTCCATCAACTCGGCCACGAAATTGATAGGCGGTGAATCGGTGACCGCGACGTATCCTCTGAACTGCTCCCTCAGCGCCTCTTTTACAAATTTTTGATCTCGATCGCTCTTGCAAGGAGTGCGGTACATGATATCAATCCATTTCCTGATATGGCTTTCCTCGCGGAGAGCCAGAGCCTCGCCGCCATGGTAGACGGGCCCGTCGAGGAGACGCTCGAGCGCGAGACCGAAAGAGACGGTGCCGGTGCGGGACATGCCGGCGCCGATGACTTGGATTTGTTTTGAGGGGTTGGTGGGGTGGGAGGGCTGTTGGCCCATTTTTGAGAGACGTTTAATGCGGTGGCGAAATGTGATAGTCTTAGATGCCTGCCGTTGATGGGAATCTCTCTAAAAGCTGGAGGTCAATAATCCCCGTAAAGGAGCATTTGAACATTTCAAAAAGAGAAAATAAATGTATAGTCCTTCAATGGCTATAAGTTGCACCTAGTGAAATAAGACAACTATAACAATTCTGCCAGTAGTAGTCCCAAGTTATAAAGCTACTCGTACATATCTTGTTCCTTGCATGTGATAATAACGAAGACGTTTTGAGCACCCATGAATGAATGACTATGACTCCACATTTCCGTGACGTAACGGATGACTAATTCAGTCAGATCACAGTCGAGCTATGTTTACATTAGGCAAATGTCTTTCACTTTTCCTATCATTCTATTTACTTCGGCCCAAACCCATCAGATCAGTAGCTGTAATAATTGTCTCTTGATTGATCAATGGACCATTCCCAACACTCAAGTATTTCCGGTATTTCAGATATTACAGAATCTGTTTTCTTGTGCAGAGACAGCCCCATTTGCAAGATCGATGTACACAAGGGCTAGCTTGATTCGATTAGTGAGACAGAATAGAGATATTGGATAGAAGAGCCGGCTTGCCTTACTAACCGTACCATTGGGCTCCAAAATGAAGCCCGATAGCAATTTTCACGCAACGTTCGAATCAATGAACACCAAGGTTCCAAGCTTCGATCGAGTACTGATCATTGCTTTGCGGTTGCAAATGCATTGGAAGACCTGATCTCTGCGCTCTCGTCAATTCCCTGCGCAAGACAGACTCAGAAAGCGCGGTAAAAGGACGTCTCGCGACTGTCCATTTTGGAAGCGCAGAGATTCACTGAGCAGACTCTGCGCCGCTAGCCCGGCCGCGCTTTCTTCTTCTGGGGCCCTTCTTCTTCCTCGTTGTCGCTAATATCAGCATATAAGGTCTTCGGCTGAGTCTGTTTCCATGCATTGGTAAACATAGGATCCTTCTCCGCTTTCTCGGCGTACTTCAGCAGAGCTTCTCGTGGATCTTCATCACGCATAGAGCTGAGCGGTATGTTGTTCTTAATATGCTGTTCGTCGGGCTGGCTCTTAGCGAACGGAGTTGTCATGGGGATGTGCGGGCGCCTTGGATCACGAGAGCGGCCGGACACTGTCAGACCTATTGTTGGGTGTCGAGAAGCGTAGCTAGTACCAGCTTGGGCTGCACGTAGTCCATCACCGGAAGATATAGCGTCTCCTGATAGCCCCTGGGAAAGATCGGTAGTGAAGTTGGGATCATCGTCGATGTGTCGCCTCTTGGGGGCTTTAGACATGACCATAACGGCGCCACGAGTTGAGGTTTTCGGATCGTATAGCACATGCATCTCTGCGTTCGCGGAGCCTGTAAGTATCTGGTTCAATTTCTCATGCCATAGAAGTGTGACGAGCGGAGATCCATCCGTGACAGGAGTCACAGTCTCCGGCTTCAGCGTAGCAGGATTCAAGATGTGAAGCTCGCCGCGTGTGGAGCCTGTAATGATCGATGAAGAAGTGGGAGAGAAACGGATGTCCGTATTAGCGTATTGATCGGACGTCGATATATGGTCGACAACGCTTATGGGTTGCTTGAATTTGCGAGTATCCCATAGCTTGATCAGATCGTCACCTCCCCTTGTGACTACGGTTCGCCCATCAGCGCTGACATCAAGACCTCCGGTCCAAGTATCTCTTTTATGGGCTTCTCGTATTTCCGCTGATGGCCTTGAGTATGGTCCATCGCCGTCCCACATGACCAGACTACCATCCAGACCTGCTGCCACAAGTAAATTCTTTCCACCTTGGATAGGTGTGCCCCATTTCACAGCGGTCATCCTCGTCCTGCCTGCTGATCCAGCTGCTCTTGACTTATGCACTATCACGTCCTTCTGCTTCAGCGGCATGTTGACGTCCCATATCCGCAGAGTGCTGTCTGTGCCAGCCGTGACCATGAGGTCTTTGTTCGTTGGGTGCCATGTTCCTGTAGTGATGGCAGAAATGTGGCCCTTCGTATTGTGCATATCCCTCAGATACATGTCTCCCTTGACAAATTCCTTGAGCTCTTCCCCATCACGACTGAATATCTTGGCCTGAGGCGTAGCGGAAATGACAAGTAATGAGCTTGGAGAGCTTGGGTTGAACTCGACATGGTGGACAGGGTGTGTTTCCGAGCTCGCGGATGCCTTTGTAGCCGTAGGATCGATTGTTTTGAAGGCATGTAGGGTATTTGGGGTCATGGAAGCAAAGTCGTGGAACTTGATGGTGCAGTCTGTAGAGCCAGTGATGAATCTAGAGCCGGAAGGGTCGACGGTAATGGTGGTAATGGGCCTCTCATGGGTCTTGAGCACCAGCTCGTGAGAGACCGGGAAGTCGTCATTTTCATCGGAGTCTTCCTCGGAATCTTCATCGCTGGAGTCATTATTCCCGCCGCGTTCTTCTGAGGGCAATTCCTTGATGGCCGTGGTAGGTCGTTTGCTCTTCTCTAGCTGTCGAGCCACATCCGTCTCCTTTGTCTGCTTGCCAAACCCCGTAGGGAAGAACTGTTTCAAAGCTTCGTCTTCCTCGATGAACACCTCATCGTCGTCCATATCGTGGGTTGTCCGGAGAGGCTTGATGGTGCTAATTTTAGAAAGTCGAGCTGAAGAACTTTTGCTTCCGAGGATGCTCGGTGTCTACACGTGTACGTTTACGATCTAATTCTTAGGCAGCGAATCACAAATCATGTCACTAAAAGCTCTCGATGCCGAGAGGAACTTAGAGCCATATCCATTCTACAAAGCAGTGGGAGATTAGGGGGCAGATTTTCATTGGCACTTGACATAGATGGCTGGCTACATCTCGCCATGGGTCTAAAATTCGCATTGATGGCATTATGTTTCATGGTTCTCTTCAGACCATGAAAATCCAGGTCGGCTTCCCTTCACGCCGTTGGGCCTGCGAGCTAGGATGAAAGGCGCAAAGCTATCATAGCCCATGGCGTCCTCGTCTACCCCATGCAGCAAACAATTCGGTATCCATGAAGTATCAAACCCTCCGCAATCGCCTATGACTCCACAATGCTCTCTCTTGCCGTAGTTTGTAGCCTGCACTTGTCCCACTCTCGTCAATTCTCTCCGCGCGCTCAATGATGCTCTTCGCTTCCATGTCCTTCCCCATGTCCTTCCCCATGCCCATGATGCTCGTCTTTCATGAAAAAGTACTCGTAGGTGCAGTAAGCCCCGAAAGCTACCGTAGCAGTGCCTAGACCAGGGAGAGCGCCCTTGAACCGGTTGTATCTTGTAAAGGGACCCGTATATCGCCATTGTTCACTGTAGAGCGTACATCAGCGAGACCCTGTAGAATCAAAATTCGTGAGGTATCCCACGCTCGCGCCCATGGATCCTTAGCTGGCATGCCAGACGACTGTACAAATTTGCGAGGATCAAAGCCGGTCACATTGTGTCGAGGAGGAGGCATCTTGCTGTGGTGTCAAGTCAGCGGAGGACAAGAAGAATTGCTTTATCCGACCACCGCTTACACTGATCCAGTTTCGGTTGCTAAGCCTTGTCAGGATTGTCCCAGCACTCAATTGATGGAAGATGGATTGTGACAAAGTACAAGATTGAGGCTCAATGCTCTTGAACGCCAAGAGGTTTGGCGCTAGTGATTCCTTGTCCGACTTCGAGAGCTTCTTGGCCTGGATATTGCAATATCCTCACTTCATTGACAAGGCACCAGCTGATTCCAAGAAACTCACTTTAATCTCAATTTCCCTTAGTACTTGCCAAAATTTGCGCGAAAATTCACTTCTCCAAATCTCCTCTCTTACCATCAATGAGACTACCAAGAAGGAGGTCCAGAGCCCCATTTTCATTCGCGGCCTGACTTGACACGGCTCCAAATCGTATATAATGGCTCCGGCCAATAGCAGATTCGGTGGACAGAATTCAGCGGCTTCATACACACGTCTACCGCCAATAACGTTACCTACAAACACACCAGGACATCATTCCTCGAACTCAGGCAGCCTACCCCCTCCTTCCTTTCATCACGCTTTCGGACAACCGAGCCCTTTCGCTCCTACGGGCAACTTGAATGGACTCGCTGGAGGGTTTGGTCCGGGGGGTGGGCTAGGTGCTGGTGGGACAGGGCTGGCAAGTCGAGAGGCGATGATGGGATTCCAACACGGTGCAGAACTACAACAGCAACAACAGATCAAGGAACAGATGCGGAGGGAAGGTGGAATGGGCCCAAAAGGCCAATTAAAATCCAGGATACGAGACGTGTGGCGGGGGAACCTAGCTCAGGAAATGGGACTACTGCGCGTGATGGTAGAACAGTATCCGTACATCAGCATGGTACGTCGGTGTTCCCTACGTCTTTGGTCCCTACTCTCGCGTTTGTGGTTCTGACTGAGAGATCTTAGGATACTGAGTTCCCTGGCATCGTCGCTCGACCGATGGGCGCTTTCACTACCAAAGCCGATTACCACTACCAGACCCTGCGCTGCAATGTCGACCTCCTTAAAGTCATTCAACTCGGTATAACACTGTTCAGTGAGGATGGGGAAATGCCGCCTGCGCACCAGACAGAATCTGCTACATCATCATACTCAAACAATCTGCTACCTTGCCCTTGCACCTGGCAATTCAACTTCCAGTTCTCCCTGGGCGAAGACATGTACAATCAGGACTCGATAGACTTTTTGATGACGGCTGGACTTGATCTCGAGGCGCATGAAAAAAATGGCATAGACCCTCAGGCCTTTGGTTCTCTGCTAATGACATCTGGTCTTGCATTGCTGGACGACGTTCGATGGATATCATTCCACTCTGGTTATGATTTTGGCTACCTCGTGAAGCTCATGTTGTGCAAGCAATTACCAGAAGACGAGACAGAATACCGAAAACTCCTGAGCATCTTCTTTCCCGCAATCTATGACATCAAATACATGATCAAGGCCGCTCAAAGAACTCAGACAGTCAATGACGCTGCTTTGTCGCCTTCAGCCACGAACATACTCAACAACTTAGGCCAGAAGTCAGGTTTGCAAGACCTGGCTGATGAGCTTGGGATCAAGCGGATTGGGGTAGCACACCAAGCTGGTTCTGATAGCCTGTTGACCGGCAAGGTGTTTTGGGAAGTGAAGAAGAATATTTTCAATGGCACGATTGACGACGAAAAGTACCTAGGCCATGTGTGGGGGCTGAACGGGATGGGCTCGGCAGCTTCCACTGCGAATTATGCACAAAGCGGCTATGGCAATGCCGTGGATGGGCAATCCAATACACCGAACCTCAACGGCGCTACCATCTACAACCACACTCCAACCCCTATCCAACCAAGCACACCGGCAAGCTCGCACACGGGTCTAGCAAGCACTCTGGCGAGTCCTCCGAGCCAACAGAATCCGAACAACGGCGGAGGAATTGGGTCGCTGACTCCGGGTGGAGGGGCTGGCGTCTTCGGTGCTTTCCGAGGGTTTGGGGGAAAGGGCTGATTGTACAGTACAGCGAGAAGGAGGGTTTTTGCGTCTGGCGCATGCGGTGGCCGGCGTCGTCTGCAGAGAATTTCTGAGGCCTTATTATACCTAGCTACTTAGCGGGAGTCCCAGGAGTAGGGATTATGTTCTCGTCTATAAAGAGTGTGAGGCGTCTATGAAACGGCCACTAGAGAAAGGTGATAGTGCCCTCAGAGTGGTATGAGTAACGCACTAATGCACACATTTGCCAGGTTTTTAAGGCCCTGACTTGCAGCCAGTGCAGCTGAGGGAGCTCATCCAGTGTGTACTTCTGTCTGTCTTCCTGCGCGTCTGCTTCATTTTCTCACGACTTGAGGTGATGGCATTGCAACTGGTCGTTATCGCAGGCGTGGAGAAACTTGGTCTAGCCAGATATGGTGCTTGTATCCTGAACCATCTTGCTTTTCCTTATCGACAACCTTACCCCACACAACGGTGCGACTATAAACATCCAAAGTAGGTATTTGGGGTCCAATGCCGACAGAATCACCTTCTCATTTGTCTTCCTGCTTCGGGGAAGCCAAAGCGAGATTCCTCTTTCCTCTTATATAGTTCACATACATAGCCATCTCAATAGATGATCCTGCTGTCTCCATACCTATCTCCAACCTACTTTTCCATACTGCTAGACAGTGGTTCCACTGACGGAACAGCAGTTCTTCCTCCTCCTGAATAACAATGGTTCTCGACCGCCTAAAGCAAGTCGCCCAACATGTCTCCGGCACTACCCCTCCTCCTCATCCCTTCGACCCTCTCTCTGCCTCTGAGATTGAGAAGGCGGTAGCACTCATCAGGAAAGAGCATGGGCCGCTCGCTTACAATGCCGTTACAGTCTGGGAACCCAGGAAGGCGGACATGCTGGCATGGCTCGCGGACGCAGATCATACGCCGAGACCGCACCGAGTTGCGGACGTGGTAGCGATCAAGAAGGGAGGGAGTGTATATGATGGGTTGGTTGATTTGGACGAGGCGAAAGTTCTGAAGTGGGAGAGCACGGAGGGTGTGCAGCCATTGATTACGATGGAGGATCTGCAGATTGTGGAGCATGTTGTGAGGGAGGACCCCAAGGTCATTGAGCAATGTGGCATCATTGGGATACCGAAGGAGGACATGCACAAGGTCTACTGTGATCCTTGGACCATTGGTTTCGATGAGCGGTTTGGGAACAAGGTCAGGCTTCAGCAGGCTTTGATGTACTACAGACCGCATATCGACGACAGCCAGTACACGTTCCCACTGGACTTCACCCCTATTTTCAACTGTGATACCCAGGAGATCATCCACATCGATGTCCCTCCCGTAAGAAGACCCATCAATCAAGCACCAGCGAATAATTACCACCCCGCCGCAATTGAGGCAGAAGGCGGCTATCGCAAGGACTTGAAGCCGATCAATATCACTCAGCCTGAAGGTGTGTCATTCAACGTTGACGGGAGGATCATTGAATGGCAGAACTGGAAGGTTCACGTGGGCTTCAACTACCGTGAGGGTATCGTGCTGAACAACATCACCTACAATGACAAGGGCAACGAAAGAGGCGTCTTCTACCGACTTTCACTAGCCGAGATGGTGGTGCCATATGGAAACCCTGAGCACCCTCATCAACGGAAACATGCCTTTGATCTGGGTGAATACGGAGGTGGCTACATGACCAATAGCCTCGCTCTCGGCTGCGATTGCAAAGGGGCAATCCACTACATGGATGCGAACTTCGTGAACCGTGCTGGTGCAAGCCAAACGATCAAGAACGCCATCTGCATCCACGAAGAAGACGCCGGCATCCTCTTCAAGCACACTGACTTCCGAGACGACTCAGTCATCGTGACTCGAGGGAGGAAATTGCTGATTTCGCACGTGTTTACTGCTGCAAACTACGAGTACTGCGTTTACTGGATTTTCCACCAGGATGGAACAGTGCAGCTCGAGGTCAAGCTTACGGGCATTCTGAACACCTACGCCATGAACCCGGGAGAAGATACGCACGGCTGGGGCACGGAGGTGTACCCAGGGGTCAACGCTCACAATCACCAGCATCTCTTCTGCATGCGGATAGATCCCAACATTGACGGGCCACAAAACACCATTTTCCAGGTCGACGCCAAGGCAGGGCCTGGTGAGGTCGGCAGCGCGGAGAATAAGTACGGTAATGCCTTCTACGCGCATAAGACCAAATTCACGACTCCAACTGAAGCGATGTCGGATTATGAGGGGAGCTCTAGTCGGACTTGGGAAATGGCGAACACGAATAAGATCAATCCGTACAGCCACAAGCCCGTTAGCTATAAGCTGGTCAGCCGAGAAGTGCCTAGCTTGCTGCCGAAAGAGGGTGGTCTGGTATGGAAACGAGCTGGATTTGCAAGACATGCTGTCCATGTCACTAAATGTCAGTTTTTCTCAACCTCCCCCCCCCCCCCCGCTTCGGCTAACGGCATGTTTCCAGACCAAGACGATCAAGTGCACCCCGCTGGCCGTCATGTCCCGCAGACATCCGGCGAACCGTCTCAAGGTCTCCCCGAATGGATTGCACAACACGCCGAGGAAAACATCGACAATACGGATGTTGTCCTCTGGCACACATTTGGCATCACACATTTCCCGTCGCCCGAGGACTATCCGGTCATGCCTGCGGAGCCCATGACATTGCTGCTTCGACCTCGGAATTTCTTCCTGAAGAATCCGGCGCTGGATGTGCCGCCGAGCTACTGTTCCACTCCAAGCCAGAAGGCGAGTCTGTTGCAGCGGGGAGAGATGAACAATGCGGACAAGGCGAGTCGGGCGGTTTGATGAGGTGCACGAGGTCTCTGGCGATAACACGCGTACGATGCGGTACATGTATATATCATCCACCTGGCATTTACCGCGAGAGTGCGGTCCGAGTTCATGGAGATTGTTGTTACACGAGTGATTCAAATGCGACTACGGAGTATGCACGACTCGGTCGCTATACGGTAGTATGTTATTGGCCGCGTCGCAGTGGGCGCCGCGCAGCCACGGTACAAGCGCCAAGCCCATGATTGTTCGAAACATGCAAATCCTTATAGGAGTGCCCGGTCGGCCGGGCAAGACTGGACGTCGTGTTACTGTTGGTGCTGCAGCCACTCTATCTACAGTGTGCCTGTCGTATTCGTAATCCTGTGTAGGATGTACGCATATGTAGCAAGAAGGCTATGTGGCTGTGTAGCCCCCCCCTCCCCCTCCATATGTGTAAATAGCGTAGGCGCGGGAAGATGCTTGATTGCCAATGATGATGCATTAAGGGATCTGGACGGATGATGAAACACGATGCAATGTGCAAATGTGCAAATAAAATAATTATAAATACGATATGATAATGATAGGCGCAGTGGACACTGATCTTGATCTCGTGTCATCATTATTATTTACATGTAGTGGATGGGAGCAGGAAAAAAGAAGGGGAAGAAATGCCCCGCGGGTCCGTTCGCTGTTTAATAAGGACCGAGACGGGCCTTGGTGCAGATGCTTGGCAACCAATGAGAAGCCACGATCCGAGTGCCAAGTGTCGTAGTGTTAATCGCTTGTCTTACTTTCTTGCCCTGTGGGCGGTTTAAACGGCTCGTTCCTTTGCGACCCAGACCAAAATTGAACCACACTCGTCGGCTATCGGCCTTAATTCTTTTATTTTTTTCCTCAGTTTACCCCTCGACAGATATCTTTAACCAATCGCATTATTGCCGCTCCAGCCCTCCTTTTACTTGAAAGTGTTAAATTGACTGGTACTTTACGCATACTGTATTGAGTGCCCGGCATTTACTTTCGGACTGTCGGACTTATTCTGTATCCTTTCTTGTTGTCTTGCCCGTTGCTGGCTGCAGCTGTGGCTGCTGCAGACTGATCATGCTGCAAACGGTCCCTATACCCTGTGATGCCCCCCCCCAACCAACCAACACGGACAAAGATACAAATAATCCTTTCCGCCCCTACTTCTAAACAAGCGTCAGTCACTTCCGCCCCTATCTCTTTCTCTAAGGCTTATTAATCAACAAGCTACATTTCCTACAATTCTCTTAACCCGATGCCGAAGGACGAGCCTTCATTCCGTATATGAATCGGCTATGACCGCCGGTGCAAATCCCTCCACCTCTTGCCTCGCTTCCCATCGTCTGCCGTAGACTCTAGCACCCGCTACAGATTCAACACTTGCACTACCGCCTCTGATAATGGCTTCTGCAATGCTCCAGGCCAGACAGGTGAGTTTGCTTCTGATACACCGACCCATCTCCGTACCATGAGCCGCGACTGACACGTTCCATATCAGGCGGCCACGATGAGCAAAATGCCCATGTCTCCTCCCTACCCAGCGACCACCTCAGCCCTCGGCGGTTCACCTACAATCGGCCTCGATGTCCCAATATGTGCCGTCTTTCTTGTCATGTATATGATCGGCGCTGCATGCCACATGGCCATCTTTCAAGTGAACCAAAAAAGAGGGCACAAGTTCATCATCTCCGGCATGTTGTTCGGCTTCTGCATGTCAAGACTGGTCACCACCTCGTTGCGCATCGTATGGGCCGTCTACCCCCACAATGGCAGATTAGCCATTGCCGCCAACATCTTCGTCGCCGCAGGAGTGGTCCTGCTCTTCATAATCAATCTCCTCTTTGCCCAACGCATAGTTAGGTCCTCTCATCCCAACGCAGGCTGGCATCCCATCTTCCACTACTCATTCGTCGGCCTGTACGTCCTCATCGTCGTCAGTCTGGTCGCTCTCATCACCTCCGTCATCCAGCAGTCCTACACGCTCAACCTGAACACAAGACGCATCGACCACGACATCCAGCTCTACGGCCAGACCTTGTACGCCTTCGTCTCCTTCCTACCTGTCCTGCTCGTCGTCGGCGGCCTTGTCATACCTCTCAAGACTCGTGTGGAGAAATTCGGCAGCGGGAGGTTCAGGCACAAGATAGGAATTCTGCTCCTGGCTTCCTGTATCCTCAGCTCAGGTGCATGTTTCCGCGCAGGTGTCAACTACGCGGGTGGGGAAAGGCCAAGGGCCGACCCAGCCGGCTACCAGAGCAAAGCATGCTTCTACATCTTCAACTTTGGGGTCGAGATCATAGTCGTTTACTTCTACGTGATCGTGCGAATCGATAGGCGCTTCTTCATCCCAAACAACAGCCATGGGCCAGGGGACTACTCCAGGACGCAAAAGGATGCAGGATCGGATAAGGAATTGGCGAGCATGGAGGGCATGCCGATCGCCTCTGAAGAACAGATCTTCGATGACAAACGTCCGGAGGACCCGACTCGAAGCAACAGGGAAACGGGCAAGGTGGTGGATGAAGAGAGGGGACTGTCAGCCGACGAAGAAATCAGGCAAGGGCAAGCGCCTGCTGCAGCGTCGAATTTTGGAGCTTCGTTTACACCGCCTACTCCTTTACTTACCCCACCTCCAGCTTCCTATCAACCTCCAGCTTCCTATCAACCTCGAGAACACGGTGATTGAAATGAACAGAGACTAAAACTCAAAGCTCGACTGCATGCAACAGCTCTTGGGTCGGGTCGATGAATCGGACACGTATCAGCTTATTTTTGACGATGAATGGCAATAGAAGCGGCAATTTTTATCTACGTCGAGGGAGCATAGCGACAGCGAATACCCTGGTGGCTTATGAGTGCCCTGCGTGCGTGTATCAATAGACGTCTTTTGCTTCATAGGCCTAATAACCATGTTTAATACACTTCATCTTGCACGTCGCAACGGCCCTCAACTCATGGACTATGATCCCAACCAGCGATCACTCTTGCCTCCTTCAACCGTCACATGCATCCTCGGCTCAGATCGCTCTCCCCGGTCGCCACGCAGTCGATGAACTGCACCCAAGCACAAAAATCCCCCCACGCACGCTCTAAGCCCGCAGGTCACGATATCTTTCCCCCTTCCCCCCTCGATCGCTCCCTCAATCTGACTTGGGCGACCCCGCTGCCGGCAACGTGGAAGCGGAAGCCCTTTTTTGTTTTCCGCACGTTCGAATGTAGAGTAGAGTAGAGTAATGCCCTACCCATCTCACCTTTTCTCCTACTGTATGTACGACTACGACCTACCTATATACTCTACACCACCAATCAATCAACCAAGCAAGCATAAAGGCACGCACGGCAATCACAAGGACCCCCACCAATCGAACCACCCGTTCGTTCCCCAAGCCCAAGAAGGATGAAAAAGAGAAAAAAAAAGAATCCCACGTCAGAAGTCAATCGGGCCGGAGTATGCATGGCCTGGACCCCATTCCTCCAGCCGTCACGATGGTCTCGGCAAAACCCCCGCTCCGGGGTCAAACGTGCGGAAAGAATTCCTCCAAGAAAGACAAAACGACGTGTCATCCCTGCCGGAATCGAAAGTGCGGGGCTGGGCAAGAGGGCGAGGATCGTGGGGAGGGGGGCGAGATCGGGGAGAGGAGGTACCGAGGTACCCACCCGGTTAGATTGTGGAAGAGCTATGGGAATATCTGAGTGGGTAGGCAAGACGGTTTTAATGGTCAGCCGAAGATCACCCAATCAATTCATGCCCTGATAACTTTGTTTTGGCTACATAGATCTTGAGGAATGACCTGCTGTAAGACTTGTTTCACGCGATCAAGTGCTACAGGTTTGGTATAGAAAGTTGTGTCACAGGTATTATTGCTGTTAAGATATTGGGACTTGGGTGTATCTAGGGTTCGCTTACTGGCCCAGCATTAAAAACCGGAAACAAACAACACAACACATCATCGCGTGCTTGGAACTCTACTCTACGTGTCGAAGTAAGCTAAACAATTTAGAGAGACAAGAGCCTCACCCTCACCGCTACCTACCTACCTAGGCACCTACCTACCTAGTGCCTCCCTTCCAACCTACTTACCTAGTTACAACGTCCGATAGGCAACACGGGTAATGCTCAGAGAGAAGTGTACGACCTACTAGCTACAGCCAACAACCACCCAACCACACCATCTCCACCACAAAATCTCCCCCACCAATACCCCATCCCCATCCTCATCCTCAAAATCCCCGACAAGTCAACCCCATCCAACAACCTCCTACCGCGCAGCTAGTCCAATAAAAGTAGATAACGTTCCACACACTCGTATACTCGTACGTTGGAGCCAGCGCACACACCCGCACACGAGACCTAAAGTAAAGTACCTTAAGTAGGTAAGCGCACCGGCCCGCGCGCACGCAGAACGAGCGGCGTATACGAGGATTCCCATTCCCAAAGCCGTCTTGAGCGGAGACGGATAGTTAAATGTAGTGGACGACGCTCGTATGTGGGATGTGAGTAGAGTGACTGCGAGGATGTCGTGAGTGCGGTGTTCGGGGGGGGGGAGAAGGTTTGAGACAGGGCGCATACGGCAGCAAGCGAGAGGAAGGGAGAGAAAGGATGGGGTCAAGATGAGACGGGGCGGCAGTGCAGAAGAAGGATCCGAATTCGGAGAATCGACAACCGAGACCGAAATGGGAGAACAGGGGGGGACCGGACATAACGCACGGAACGAGGAGAGAGGACGCAGTGGTGGCGGGGGAAGACTTGAGGTTGGGGATCACAAGGGGAGCGGTGGGAGGGTGCATTCCGCATGGGGTTTCGTAGTGTACAGATGTAATTGCGGGAGGCAACCTGCTGAGGAATAGTTGGAGAAGAAAGCTACGATGAGGGAGATGGCTCCGTGCTACGCTCGGCGAGGAGAATTGCATCAAGTTGGACTACCAGCAAGGACACAGATGCCATGTTGAAAATCCAATTGTAGGCGTCGTAGAAGTTACCGTTGGCCCGGTCGAGAAGAATGATCTCAAACAATGGAAGATATGACTGATTTCGCTGGCGTGATTATAATTGAAAGGGAAAATGCCACACCCGAAATCCAGATAGCCTTCCGGGGGCACCAAGATGATATCTAAAATGAATTGAAGATTCTGACGCTAGTAGCCTCCAAGCGGAATACGCTCGCTCTCTCTCTCTACCTCTGTGCGTGTGTGTGTGTGTGTGTGTGTGTGTGGATGCTGCTGGGTTTCCGTCAAGGCGAGATTCGCTTGTCATAGCTTCGTCCTTCCCTGCTGCCCATCCTTCTTGGCCCACTCCCTCAAAGTCTTCCTCTGTATCTTGCCCGTCGCACTCTTAGGCACTTCGTCAACGAAGACCACACCACCGGTCAGATACTTATACTTCGCAACCTTGCTCTTGATCCACTCTTGTATCTCTTCCGAGCTCGCTGCTCCTTTCGAACTGAGTAGTACGTAAGCTCGAGGGTATTCTTGAGCGTCGAAGGAGTCCTGGACGCCAACCACGCCCGCATCGGCGACGGCAGGATGGGTAAGGAGGACAGCTTCGAGCTCGGCGGGGGCGACTTGAAGGCCGGAGACTTTGATGAGTTCCTGTGGATAAGGTCAGCGCCAATTTGCGAATGTATTTTTGTTGAGACTTTTCACCTTCAATCGGTCCACAATGTAGAACCATCCCCTTTCATCAGTGACAGCCACATCCCCACTCCGCAACCACCCACCCTCCAGCATGGTCTCCCTCGTAGCCTTTTCGTTCTTCCAATACCCTGGGCTGACATTCGGTCCCTTTATGTATATTTCACCCCTTTCCCCCATCTCCACCTCCTTCCCATTCTCGTTTACCAATTTGATCTCGCAATTGGGTATTAGGACGCCCACGCTTCCAGTATGATCTTCAATTCCTCCTGGCGCAACCAACCCTGTACATGTGATTTCGGTCATACCCCAACCCTGCCCAACATTGGCCGGAAAGCGTTGCCTACAATCCATTTGCAGACTCTGAGATAGTGGCGCAGCGCCAGAGGAGATTTTAGTGATGCTGCTGAGGTCATAATTGGCTGTTGCAGGGTGCTTGCTCATCAGGACCAGGATAGGCGGGACGACTTGAAGCTCTGTAATCCTGTACTTTTGAACAACATGAAGCATCTCTTCGTAGACAAACGCCGACATGATGTAGACTGGGACGACGAGTTTTGCTGCCATGAGGATAGTATTTAGTTGGCCGTAGGCGTGATAGAGTGGAAGGAAGCCGATCCAGCGCTCGTCGGCGACTGAGTATTTGCCAGTTCGTTTGAACTCGGGTTTCTCGACGTTCTTGAGGAACATGGTCTGTTCTGCGTTGGCGATCAGGTTGTAATGGGTCTGGCAACTCTCATTAGAGGGAGTACTATGGTGCGGATGGGGAGACGTACGACCATGACACCCTTGGGTAGACCTGTGGTGCCACTAGAGTAATTGACTGTTGCTATCTGCTTCTTCGACTCCAAGCCTAACAGTCGTGGCCGATTGTATCTTGATGCATCTGGAGGGCTACCCAGCATTGAGCGCCAATCTTGAATACCGTCGACAGGCTTGTGTTCTGTGTCTGAGAATAGGTACAGTCTATCTTCTGCAAGGCCGGCTGCTTTGGAGGCTTTCCGAGCTGTGTCAAGAAGGGTGGGATGGACCAAGAGAACTCGGGCTCCTGTGTTCCGAATCTGGAAACTCAACTCTGTTCACGGGAGGTAAGCATGAATCGCGCCTTTTGACAATACAGATCTGAGTGCTATAGAAGTCCGAAAATGGTTCATGGTGGTCATGTAGATAGAAAAACAGAGTAGATGTCTCAATCGACGCATCTGGATTTTGTCAAGACATGTGGTTGTAGATACTGTAGGACTCCAGACCTGCACGCAATGTCTATCGCATGATCAACGAAGATCTTCCCTACCATCTGCCGTATACAATGGGTTGGCACCACTGAAAATCCGCCCAGAGCCCACAGCTCCCAAGTACGCTACAGGCACGAAGATATGATTCGGGGACACGATCATAAGCACCTCCCCCTTTTTCACACCCAACTTGTCAAGGCCTATCGCCAATCTTTTGATCCATTGTAGCGCAGTGCGCAACGAGAGGTAGGTATCTGGGCTGGCCGCATTGATCCAGAGCGGAGTCTCGGACAGCGATTTCTCGGAGCCGAAGAGGTAGGTCAGGATGTCTTGCTCGGGGATTTTGAGGTCTGGGTAGGGGGATCGTATGACCATGTTGGCGGTGGCTACTTCGAGAATGGTTATCAAGAGTTGAGAAGAGCTGTGGAAGGTCGAGGATGAGTCGGTCAGAGCGGCTCAATGCCAGTCATCAGAGCTTCTGTCAGCAGCTGCAGCGCATCCCTTTGGACAAGGAGAGGGACGAGTGATTTGACACTGGTCAGACGAGATCCGGACCGAAAGCTGCGGGGGCATGTCGCTGCCCATGGGCAAATAAAGTAGGGTAATAACATGACTTGTTTCACGAAGCGAGGAAGGAAAGCGCCAGGCTCGAGTTCGCTATGAAAGTCCCGATTGAGACGCTCACCGTCCATGCTCTTTGGTACTAATTAGACAAAACTACTCGTAGAAGTGTCCGATATGCTTCTAGTATGCTCCTAGCACCAGTCGTCACACGGGCCATTTCATGGAGTATGCGGGGGGAGGGAAAGTCGGGAAAGTCGAGGCACATTCTTTTGCCGGGATGATCGCTTAAGAGGTTTTGGGGAGCCAATCTTTTTCCACGCCGCAGTACGCGTACAGGGGCGCTCGATGTTGAGAGGTAGGTCCTGCATTGGAGATCGCACTCTCGTGCACGCGTCAACTAATGATAAAGCTGATCACATTGTGAATCTCAGCAAAGTCAGTTGGGTAATAAGATGAGTATGCGTTGTGATTGTGAACACTGAACAGGAGTCTAGACGGACATAAAGTAACTCGGCGAGTCGCGAAAGAGCCTTCCGTGAAACCTTGGCGCTCGCTCTATTCTTAGCCCTCTTGCGGCAGGGCAATTGCGTCGTGGTGAGGCTTCACCAGATTCGACCACTTCGCAGCATTGCTTGAGCCACTGCTGCATCATCAATAATGATGCCGTGACCATTTCAATGTAGCAGCCTTTGCTGCCCCATTCTCCAACATGTCTTACCTCCGCCTCTCTGCATTTGGTTCAGATTGTCCAAGACAAAAGGGACTTCACTGGCCTGACCGACAGCTCTTCGATCCACAGCAAAGATTCCCCCGCCTCTTTGCAGTATTCTTCACAGCTTGTCCAAAACAAAAAGGACTTCACTGGCCTGACCAACAGCTCTTCAATCCATAACGGAGGAGATTGACCAGTCAATATCTGCCATGATCCGGTTCGCACAGTACTATCAGCGAGCGAAAAACGGGTTTCATGCCATTCAAGCCCTGGCCATCTTTGTTGCCTGGGCCATATCCATTGCTATCCTCACCAAGGAAGGCAAACTTGATGGGAGGATTTGGTATTACTTTGCTCTGGTAAGCAACTAGCAAGGAGTCATCTCAGCAAGACGAAAAGCTAATGCCTCTGCAGTGTTGGTGCTGCATACCTGCACTCTTCTACCAGACGGCTTCCCCTGTTTTCCAACGGATACGCCGCTTTTCCAATGCCTACGTCCACGGTGTACTCGACATTGTTTACACCATACTCTGGCTCGCTGCCTTTGCCTCCCTGATAGCATGGGTCGAACAAGGATCTCATGCGGCAAAAGATTGGAACAGCAAGGACAGTTTGTGTGAGAAGTTCGCATGGGGGCCTGTGAGCAAGTGCAAGCTGGGTCAGGATGCATGGATAATGGCTGTCATCATATGGTAGGGACACTGCACCCTCGCAATCGAATCGACATGGCTCATGTCTGGTCCTAGCCTGCTGTTTGGCGTTACAGCTGCCTTCGCGATCTACGGTGTAATCTATTACAGAAAGAACGGTTCTTTACCTGATTATTCCATCCAAGATGAAGAGCATCTACCCTTCGAAGACCCAGATTTCTCAGCGGACACAAGTGACAAGCTCAACAATCATGAGAACATGCAGCTTAATCATTCAGACGAAGAGGAAGCCCCATTTACGCACGCCAACGCAGAAGAGCCAACCCATCCAAGTGGACCAATCACCTGGAATCTGCAACAACCACATATTGCGCCTGCCGAGCTAGAGTTCGTGCCCGTCGACACCAGCTACTATGGCGGCGGACACCCCTATGAATCTTCGCAGCAACCTCAGTCCCAACCAACCTTTCAGTATTCGGCCAACAATTCTCGGTACGAGACTCACCACTCCAATGAGAGCCAATTTGTGGGAGGGTTGAAGCCTTTGCCAGTGCAGGATGGAGGACGTCTATCGAGACATAATTTAGCATTGGATTTTGACCATGGTGGATATGCTAGTAGTGGCAGGGTGGATTTCCCGGAGGGTGACTATGGCCGATGAAGTCAGAGATCATAGATGTCCACTTTGAAAACACAAGCTTTTGAACCTGTTCTCGAACGAGACCTCAGACATTAATACATTGAGTCCATGAGAGCTGGCCATGCAAATGATCACGAGCGTAGTGTAGTAGGGAGTGTATTGTTCGGGGGCCTTAAGACGTTGCGAGTGCGAAAAGGCTTATGTACCGTGACCTTGCTTCGAGGGCTTCGGTATGACTCAATAGTCGAGATGCCCGGTACATGTAATTTGATACCTAGCCGTTGAACTTGATTATCATCCAGGATCCTTCCCCTTTGTAGCCGTCGGAAATTCTGGCATTTGGGTGGTCGGTAATTAGATCTTCGCAACGTGACGCTTTTCGCCGCCGCCAACTAGGGTTGTAAACATCATACTGAAAGTCTCTCTGCATTATTGATGATATCCGATACTTACATTTTACGCGGGGTGCCCGATTGTATCCGGACTTTGTCATCGTGCATCCAACAGCTAGAGTTGCCATACGCGTACGCCCAAGCAGGCGTCGAGCAGCGTCTCTCCCACGGCCCCTCCAACGGAGTCTGCTCCGCCTAGACAGCCTCGATGTTGGGGAACTATCTAAATGTCTCTGACGACAGTGACACTGGCTCCAAGTTGCGGGAATGGTCTTCCCTCATCGGCATCGTCACCGCCATCATTGGCAACATTCTCATCTCCTTCGCCCTCAATATCCAGCGCTACGCCCACATACGACTCGCTCGAGAGCAGGAAGAGCGAAAGAAGCCATGGAGTACAGGGCACACCAAAAATGGTCAGAAGGGCTATGGGACCCAGCAGAGCAACATTGCAGAAGACAGGATAAAAGCCAACCTGAACGCCCCACTGGAGGACGGACAGCCTACAAACGGTCAGAACCCTACACAGGAGTACACACACGTACCAGGAGCGCACAATGAATCTACGCACTCTCGCAGCTCTTCAGAGTCTACCGTAAAGCAGTCGGAAAAGCCAGAGCCTCAAGCAGAGAAGAAGACATACCTGAAGTCCCCCTACTGGTGGGCCGGCATAGTTTTGATGATTGCGGGCGAAGCTGGCAACTTCATCGCCTATGGGTTTGCTCCTGCGTCCATCGTCTCGCCTCTCGGTGTGGTCGCCTTGGTATCAAATTGCATCATAGCACCATCTTTACTTCACGAACGCTTTCGGCAGCGAGACTTTTGGGGCGTGGTCATTGCCATAGGTGGTGCAGTGACGATTGTACTCAGCGCAAAGAATTCGGAGACGAAGATGGGACCACACGATGTCTGGGCAGCAATAACGCGATGGGAGTTTGAGATGTACCTGGGGATAACGGCAGCGCTCATCATCGTGCTGATGTGGGCGAGTGGAAAATATGGGGAGAAGACGATCTTGATCGATCTGGGTCTTGTTGCCCTCTGTGGTGATTATGACTTGGAAGCGCCCGATTGAACCAGAGCTAACAGGAATAACAGGAGGCTACACGGCCTTGTCCACAAAAGGCGTCGCATCGCTACTATCGGATACTCTCTGGCGCGCCCTGACCTTCCCCATCACATATCTCCTTGTCTTCATACTTGTTGTGTCGGCACTGGCCCAAATACGATACGTTAATCGTGCTCTACAGAGGTTCGATTCGACCCAAGTCATCCCTGTACAATTCGTCCTCTTCACGATTTCCGTCATAATCGGAAGCGCTGTATTATACCGAGACTTTCAGGCAGCTGATGCTAGCCGGTTTGGTAAATTTTTCGGAGGCTGTGCGTTAACATTCTTGGGAGTGTATCTGATTACAAGCGGAAGAGCAGGAAATGATAGTGGAGAAGATACGGACGATCTTGACGATGAAGAGAACACGATAGGACTAGTGGATGAGGAGAGATACCAGGACGAGGAGGACCATACGCGAAGGAAGTCATCTGTCAGCTTCGTTCTTGACGGACCCGATGGATCACGACGATCGTCCAAACAGCTAGTGAACAGGCGACCCTCATCGACACAAACCCCACCCAGACTACTTTCACATACATCAACTGCATCATCGCGGATGTCTGGATCGGAGTCTCCCATACTCGAGGACCCCCGGCAATCGACTGGCAACGTCTCCCTCTTGAGTAGACCACGACTAGGTGACAGTGCCATATCATCCCCACTGTTACCGTCCGAGGCACAACGAACCCACCCTCCAGCAACGCCCAACGGCCCGTCAATGCCTACGCGGCCTGCAAGACTCTCAAGGCGATCCATGGCTCGATTGACGCCAGGCCCCTACGTATCACCATTGTCATCTTCGTTGAGTGCCGTGGTTGCAGACGAATTACGAAGAGGTCATGAATCTCCATCAACCCGGAGACGGCCATCAGTGCTACGCAAATCAAAATCCCAAAGAGCCACTATAGCGTCAAATGGTGAAGAGACTGGCTCTACGCCTTTAAAGACATCGCAGTTGCCAGAGGAAGCGGTAGAAGTCGACGGCGAGCGTCCACATACTGCCATCAGATCACAGAGCGTCAGTGCCGATTTTGCTAATTTGGGTGATTCCTCTCGTATGAATCGGGAAGGGAGTAAGGGGAAAGCAAACGAGAGGGATGAAAATGATACCCCGCAACGATTGCATGTATAGGGTTACCAATGCTTAGCTTGTACTTATTGAATTTCGTGGCGTTCTGATTGTGTTCTCACAGCGTTCACTCTGCAAAGCATCGGGAGGCCATCAGTGAAAAGGTGGAGAAGAGCATGAGTAGCATTGCACATACATACTTTACATATGTCCACCCGTTTCAGCAAGCCTACAACCTCTACCTCCCAGAAGTCCTTCGAGCTCCTTCAGCTAACTTAATGAGCCATGTTGAGCCCATTTAGAAAGATTGCACTGCAGGACTCACACGCTGTATTGATCAAGTACTTTGCGGAGTGAATAAGGTTTTGGAAGGTTTCCTGCTAGCCTGATTGGCTCGTCTGCTTCGCTAGCGTCATGATTGATCATGGCTTACAGATTCACTTGCACCTGCATTACTTTTCAAGGCAAGCACTCAACCACTCGACCACTCGTAAGTCCTCGAAGCTGCTAGATTCTCAATTGAAGTATATAAGGGAGTCTTTCTCACCCCTACGCTGTATATTCTTTTATCAAAAAGCAATTCCCTCCTTTCAAGTCCAATCGCAGCCAAACATCTATTTTGTTAGAACTCAAACCCACTATTCTTTCATGTCCGCAGCAACGAAGACAGCAACAAAAATCATGTCCAAACTCTCCCACGCCAAGATAACCCCCCGTCGCTCCTCCGACCGCGGCCATGCCAATCACGGCTGGCTAAACAGCTACCACACCTTCTCCTTCGCCCAATACCACGACCCAACCTTCCAACAATTCGGCGCCCTGCGCGTCCTCAACGAAGATCGCGTGGCGCCCTCCAACGGCTTCCCCACGCACCCCCACCGCGACGCCGAGATCTTCTCGTACATCCTCTCCGGCGAGCTCACGCACCGGGACTCGACGGTGAAGCCGAAGGACGCGCGAGGGCTCGGGGACGTGAGCAAGCACGACTTCTACCGCATGAAGCGGGGCGACGTGCAGTTCACGACCGGGGGCACGGGCATCGCGCACTCGGAGCAGAACGAGCACGCGAGCGAGGAGGTGCATTTCCTGCAGATCTGGGCGCTGCCCTGGAAGCGCGGCTTGCCGCCGACGTACCACACGAGCACGTTTTCCGAGGAGTCGAAGCGGAACGGGTTCGTGACGATCATCTCGCCGTTGAGAGCCGGGCCGAAGGCTACGGGTCGGGAGGAAAAGGATGCGGTGCCGGTGACTGAGGGCACGATTCCGATCCATGCTGATTTCCTGATGGGGGCGAGTATCATCGCCCGAGGAGCTTCTGCGTCGTGGACGGTTGGAGGGGAGAAGGCGGTCGTGTCGGAGTCCGGTCGTAAGGTTTACCTGCACCTGCCGATGCGGAGGATAGGCGCGAGGATCAGAGTGGACGGGGAGACGGTGCTGGAGGAGGGGGATGGGGCTTTCGTGGAGAAAGTGAATGCTGGGGATGAGCTTCAGGTCGAGTCGATTGGGGAAGGGGAGGCGGAGGTTGTGGTGCTGGATTCGAATTAGGTCACCGATCAAGAAGGAGAGGCGTTTGGGATTCATGAATGATGATTGATGATCTATCAGAGCAATCATGAGACTGATATGTATTTTGCAGCCCTAGGACTTGTTCTGGGCAGGAGGCGGAGATCCAGCCAGAATTCAAAACATACCGTTACATCCTTCTTTCGATAACCATCTTCAACTCCTTCGCAATGCAACATATCGCAAACCGTTCAAAGCGACCACACCCCCCTCCCCACTCCCTCCCTCCCTCACTCCCCCCCAACCCATCTCCTCATATCCCGCTCTTATCCAAATGACCCGCAATCTCCTTCGCCAGCCCCGACAAATCCTGCTCATTCCCCTCCACCTCCAACCCACCGCGCACCCACCTCCCCGCCTCCTCCCACCGGCCCATCTCGCAAAGACACCTCCCCCGCCTCCACCACGCCTTCCCGTTCCCCGCCCGCTTCAACTCCACGCTCGTCTCCGCGTCCGCCGCCCCCTCGGGCCACATCCGCGCCGCCATGTACGCCTGCGCGCGGTTCGCAAACAGCACGCCCGCCTCCTCCTTCACCAGCGCGCTCGGCTCCCACCCGGGCCGCCCCGTCGCCATCTCGATGCCGTACGTGTACAGCTTGATCGCCTCCTGCGCCTGGGCGGCCGAGGGCGGCGAGGATTTGCCCGTCCGGAGCGAGGCGTTGCCCTGGTCGCGCATCTTCTGCACCTGGGCGGAGCGCTTCGGGTTGACGTTTGTGGGGGGTGGGGGGATTTGGTTGGGGAGGGCGAGGATGGCGCGGTGGAGGGCGTTGAGGGCTGTGAGGTCCGGGTCGAGGGTGCGGGTCGGGGAGGAGAGGGATTTGCTTGCCGGGTCCATTTGGATGGGGAGGAGGGTGAAGGTTTCGTCCATTGTGAGAAATGGTTGGTTGGGTTGGAGGAGCTCTTGGGCGGAGCGGAGGTCGCTTTGCGCAGAGATGTGACGCTGTTGGGGGACGAGTGTTGTCAGTGGCGCGAGAAGGTAGTAGCCTAGGTTAGGTGCGGTAGCTTGTGTTATGACTGTTCAGGAGGCTCGCTGAACTGGTGAGGCTAAGGTAGCTTTGGGGGTGAGTGGTCAGTAAGCTCTCTCTCTCTGTTTTCGGTCTGGCCAAATGTTCAGTTGCCGCTGCTGACGCTAAGACGCCAAGACACACTAGCGTACTCGTAAGGCTGATGACAATCTCGTGGACGAGCAAAATTCCATACATACCTTGTCGGACTTCCTCTTTGTCTACGAGAGCCTTTACACGTTCTCTATTGAAAGCGCTCAATTTCAAAGCAAACGAGTTCCAAAGAAGAAAGCAAGCTGTGCATCGTATTCGTTTAATTGACTTTTATCGAAAACCTTCATATGCATATTTTCTCGTCGGCGCGTCTTCCAATCAAAAGCTACGATTTCTGCTGCGTGTTTCTTACTCATTGGTCAGATACCAGGCTATCGGGTTGACAAATTTTGATAGCTAGCAGGCCCTCATAAAGATGTATGAATCTTAGCTGGTAGCTACAGCAATCACGATGCCGCCAAGCCTAAAGCAGATGCAGGCAGCAGACAAGGAAAAGTCAAACGGAGGTAAGGAAAAAAAATACCAAAACGGATTCAGATCCAGATTCTAGGCAGCCATGCCATCCCAGCTCCCAAACTTCCCTTTTCTCCTCACGAACCAAGGCCTGATGTATCCGGGATACCCTCACACGGTCCTCCTCACCATCATCCATCACCCATTCCAGTGGAAAGAGTATGTTGGCCGAAATCCCCAACTGCGCATCCTCCCATTTCCTCAATTTCGGCCCTACAGCATCCCATTCAGCGTAGAGGGCAACCCCGAAGTCCACCGCGGAAAAGCTTGGAAATCGTCAAGCACGCGAACTCCATCCCATTCTTCGCATCTCGCCATTCGACGCGCAGATCTGCAAGGCTGTTAGCAGCGTGAATCGGGTGGTACACTAGAGCCATACTCTGTGCTTCCCTGTTCGAATCGAGCCTGGCGCTCTTGCCACGTTTACCCATAGCCATGGTTTGGGCAATCAGAAGACGAATAGCTGGATGAACCGCAGGCCGAGCTTCGGCGAACGAGTTCCGCGCTTTCGATACAACCATTCGTCCGAGCGCTTTGCGCCACGCTTCGGACTCGGCTTGTAGGCATCGCGAGAGCTTGCGAACTCTTCCAAAGACACTATTAGCACAACATAGTCGGTCTATCTTGCTTGGATTTTCGAGGGCGCTTCGAACACGAGGAAGCCCAGGACTGTGCGGGAACCGGGAAGCTCTCATTGGAGATCAGGAGTCGAGAGTCTGCGGAGTAGGAATGGGTGGTCCTCTGTGAAACTGGTAAGAAGGTATATTACCGAGGAGCAGATGAGACAAGTACAAAAGCCAATCCTGCACAAAGCCATCATACCAAAATATAATCGTCAATGTATGAACTATCGGTATTAGCTGTCATTGCTCACTCTATACAGGATCAGAGGCTATAACACCAGGAGCTCCACCAAGATACCGGGAAAAATGGGTGGACCACAAATAGCCGCGGAGGAAACTGTCTCCACAGAACAATCAGTAAACGTAAGGTATACAATAGCCGAAATTCAACAATCCAGACAAGGGCAATACCGCTCTTCCATGCTATCCGACTGGTCAGATACCAGTTGCGCGGTCGATGATCATCCCTGTCTGTGGACCTCACTTGGTGATTATTTACAATGCTATAGCAAGGCATATTTGCAAAGATACTTTTGTTGTCACAACAGGGCTCAAGATTCCTCCCAGCACAAAATCATGTACTCTACAGCCGCTAAGCCGGCAGTCCCAATACCTCGGCCGCTTCCCCGAATCCTTCGTATCATCCACGGGTTTCTGCTGGTGTGACTGGATGTGGGGAACAGCCTGTGGAGTCTCGCAAAAGCCTTCTGTCTTCGCATTGTTCTCCCAAAGATACGTCGGTATTGGGCCTGCAACCGAAGTTGTTGGTGGTTACTCCGAGGCGCAAACCGGCGTTTTTTTCGATATTCGTAAAAGAGCTTGAAGGGTTTGTCGAACCAGTTGCAGATGGGTGATTCCACGCATCTTTCGTGGCTTCTCGGAAGTTTGGCAGGTTGTGGGACCGAAGCTGTCATCTTCGATTACCTGGGTGGTTTTGGGGTGCTTATTGTCGTCACCGAGGACTTTCTACTCTGGGATGTTGAATGGGTGGGAAGATAGCTTGCGCTTACCCAGTGGAGCATTTTTAACATCTCTCTTTGCGTGGTCTTTGCCATCTAGGACCAGAGCTCCTATGGAACTGGGCTGGAATGTTGCCCGTGGTTGCTTCTGTTCTAGGCTCTGCTTGTCAGCGTTGGTGGCGGGGTGGGAAAGTAGTAGGCTAGGTCAGGTATATTATGTTATGACTCCTCAGGAAGCTCGCTGATTTGATGGTGACTTTGACTGAGCGTGGTCAGGGAGCTCCCCTCTTTGTAATGGTGCTATGCATTTAGCTCGTTCGTCGCTAATTACTACTGGTGAATGGACAGATTCTTTCGCGTTTCATCACAGTCAGAGGCCGGGACCCTAATCAAAGCGGGAACAATGGCAGATTCTCCCTCGTTCAGATGCCAATGGCAATGACGCCAAGACGCCAAGACGCCAAGACGCCTAAAGTCAAGGCCAATGCTAACAGTAAGGTACAACGTCAAGAAGAAAGAGAACCACAGTCTGCTTACGGAGTGTGCTCTTTCTCGACACTTCTCGCTTTACCAAATTATCAGTTCTAACAGAAGTTGCAAGTATTTGAGTGTGCCAATATGAAGCAAAGTCTGGCGAAATGCCGCTGACGGCTTTGAATCATACTCGCAATCGGGACATCATCTCACCGCTTTGCATCCCGACCGTTGCTTGGAAATCAGCATTCTGATTTCTACAGTAAAGTTGGTGCAACGTTCACGCCATTATCGGCTTTAAAGTTACGAGTCGGCTTTTGCGCATGGATAGAGTATTACTGTATTATTCAATCAACAAGAATCTCCAACACGCAAAGTCACAATTATTGCTGACTGCTCTTCATTATTATCAAGCAACCGGGCAGCTGAAAATACTAAAAATGAATACTAATCTCAGCCAGACCGACTTTCTTTTCTATTTAAGAGTCCTTGTCGTCTTCCAGCTCCTGTTGTTCTTCACTCCATCGGCGTCTCTCTTATTCGGTACTCTACCCCTAATCTGACCTCAGTGATTGGGAGTGTCTGATATCTCTCCCTTGTATATCAACAACCCTTTGCCAGCACTTTCCACTTTCCTACCTTTCCTTTCTAAACCATAGCCACAGAGCTTTTGTGGCATGTCTGATTTAATTCGCGAGGCGCCCATTGGGCAGCTCCTTCGCTTCCTCACCAAGAACAAGGTCCTTAAATACCCGGAAGAAATTCCTGGCTTCCAACTCCCAGAATCCTACAGAACCATACTCAACGCAGCCGATTCAAAGAATATTGCCTCATCACGGTCGGATTCAGAGCAAGGCGAAAAGAGTGCCAAAGGAGTGGAAGACTTCCCAGAGCTCCAACATCGTGTCACAACCCGCAGCATCAGGTCCGCTGATATCGAGGCACCGACTGCATTAACGCACATCAGGACCAGAGAAAGTACGAAACCTTACACCGAAGAACGTCTAGAGATTGAAGCAGAGCTGCAAGTTGAGCGCACAAAGTCACTGGCCATAGCCCCTCAAAAAACATCCGACGGCAATATCCTAGTCGACTGGTACACGACAGACGATGCAGCAAACCCCCAGAATTGGTCCAATGGCAAGCGCGGCTTTGTCGCCATGCTCATCTGCGCCTACACATTCGCCGTTTACACCGGCTCCGCCATCTACACCTCCGGCGAAGCCGGTGTCATTAAAGAATTCGGCGTCTCTCCAACCGACGCTTCACTTCCTCTCTCCCTCTACGTCCTCGCTTACGGCCTAGGACCACTGATTTTTGCGCCCCTCAGTGAAATCCCAGTCGTCGGTCGAAGTCCAGTCTACGCCGTCACAATGTTCATCTTTGTCATCCTCTCCATCCCAACGGCTTTAGTCCAAAACTTCGCTGGCCTCCTCGTACTCCGTTTCCTTCAAGGGTTCTTCGGTAGCCCTTGCCTCGCCAACGGCGGCGCCACGATGCAAGACATGTATTCCCTCGTCAAGCTCCCCTATGCCCTCACCCTCTGGGTCTCCGCTGCCTACTGCGGTCCCTCTCTCGGACCCCTCTTGTCCGGCTTTGCAGTCATGGCAAAAGGCTGGCGCTGGTCGCTCTGGGAAATCCTCTGGGTCGCCGGCCCCGTCTTTGTCCTCATGTTCCTTCTGGTCCCCGAGACCTCCACCCCGAATATCCTCCTCCGCCGCGCGAAACGCCTCCGCGCACTAACGGGCGACAGCCGACTGCGCTCGCAATCAGAAATCGACCAAAGGAACATCAAGCCGTCGAAAGTGATCATATCCGCTTTGATCAAGCCCTTGGAAATCACCATCAAAGACCCGGCCATGGCCTTCGTCAACCTCTACACAGCCCTCGTGTACGGAATCTACTACTCCTTCTTCGAGGTCTTCCCGCTCGTCTACCCGCCCTTCTACCACTTCACCCTCGGCACCGTCGGCGTCCTCTTCTCCTGCATCCTCGTCGCCTGCGCGCTCGGCGCCCTCGCCTACATCGCCTACCTGTACTTCTACCTCGTGCCCGACATCCTCGCGCACGGGCTCCGCGCGCAGGAGCACCGCCTCGTGCCCGCCCTCGCCGCCTCCTTCCTCCCGCCCGCGGGCCTCTTCATCTTCGCCTGGACCGCGCGGCCCGACCTGCCCTGGATCGCCAGCGTCATCGGCATCGTCGTCTACGGCGGCTCCAGCTTCATCATCTTCCAGTGCGTCTTCGTCTACGTGCCGCTGTCGTACCCGCAGTACGCCGCCTCCCTCTTCGCCGCCAACGACCTCTTCCGCTCCGCCCTGGCGTGCGGCAGCATCCTGTTCGCGCGCCCGCTCTTCGTCAACCTCGGCGTCGACAGGGGCGTCTCGCTGCTGGCGGGGCTGAGCATCATGGGCATCTTCGGCATGTTCACCCTCTACTACAAAGGCGCCAGTCTGAGGGCGAGGAGTAAGTTCGCCATGTCTTGAACTTGCGAGCGATCATTTTTCCAATTTGTAGATTATTTCGACGTTCCGCGAAGTCGACCCGGTCTACCTAATGTCTTCTTGGACGGTCAAGCTTGGATAGATTAGAAGGGGTGAGAAATCGTGCTCTTATAGACGGGTTTGATGGGAAAGAGAAGGTATACCCACGGCGGGGAAGGCGCTGGATCGTCATTGGTCGTGCATAGTAAATAGCGTTTCTAGTATATAATTGCATCATTGCGGCAAGTTCCCCTCTAAGACTGAAGTTTTCCAACACGTGTGGACATTGGACACGAAGTACAGCGATGAATTTATATTGCACCATTGCGGCAAATTCCAGTCTTAGACTGCAGTCCAACACGTATGAACATTGAACAGGAAGTACAGCAATGGTTTCCATCCAAATCAATATCTACATATTAGATACAACAGGACACCCCACCATCCCCATCTCGAGTAACTTTTGCGAAAGCATCGATCAATTCCATACTTCTATGACTAAAACAAACACACAATCGCTTTTCCCCATCCCATCCGCCGGCAAACCTCAACACCCAAAAATCTTACAAGTAGACACATTAACCCGACTCCACTTCCTCCGCTCCACCAGCGCCGCCAAGAACTGCCCGGGCCAGTAACCATGATACAGCCACCACGCCGGCAGGGGATCCCAGAGCTCAAACGTGCCGTCTCTCCACAGCAGCACATGCTCCAGAAACGTCCTGCAGCCGTGCAGATAGGCAGATATGGTGATGTGGCCGGAGAGGAGGGAGAGGAGGGGTAGGAGAAGGAGGGTGACGAGATCGTGGCCGAGCCAGTAGTAACGCGCCGGGTTGGCGGGCGTGACGGGTGCGGAGGACTCGGGTCGTGAGCGGGTGTAGCCGTTGATGTTTGGCCGGATTTTCGTTGGCGTGACGGGTGCGTAGGTATCGGGCTGTGCGTCAGGGGAGCCATTCGTGAGTGGCCGCTCGCTCGTGCCGTTGATTTGTGGCGTCAAAGCGGTGAGATACGCCTCCGACATGGCCTTCTCTTGACCCTGGAAAAGGACCACGGCGGTGTGAGCTCGCGGGTTGCATTCGATGGGCAAGAGCGCCAACTGCGCGCCCTTCTCTGACACCACCTCCTCGACTAGGACGTCGAAAGATAGATGCCCTGTCATGTTGCTTCCGCTTCTCTGCACAAACTCCTCTGTAAAGCGTAGCATGGCACAACTGAGTGCCGAGTCGGAAGGCAATGCTTCGTAGTGCATGAGAAGCTCCGAGGAAGGGCAGGCGACGAAAGCTTTGACCTCGTTATTGACAATCAGAGCATGGGTGCAGTATTCTCTCCCCTTGATAAACTGTTGTAGCACCCACGGCTTCTTCCCAGATATGGGTATCGCTGAGACGTGGTTGTATGTCTCACTGACGGTCCTCTTCGGCAGCACCGTCATATCGCCCCTCGATGCATCATCCATGCCCACGCTTTTCATGATATATTGCTTCTTCGTCTTCGGGCTCTCATGTAGCACTCTATGCACCGCGGCTCTGCTGGTCACGTTGTGCGTCTCTGGGGTAGGGAGGCCAATCCGCTGGGTTTGGGCGATGAAGGTATCTTTCTCATGGAGCATCTGCGTGGTCAAGACGTCGAACTGTATGCACCGCACGTCACTCCTCCTCTCCAGCACCTCTTTCGCCTGCCCATCTTCTACCGCGGATGCAACACCTGAACAGCTGACCCAGAGGTCCACCTTCTCCTTCCTCACAATGTGTAGCAGAGCATCAATGTAGTACGCCGCCCCGGATTTCTCATTTGGTTTAGGCAAGCTGTAGAACGTCCGTACCGCCTTACTGAACCTCCCACAAACTGGTATCCCGTTGGGCTCGAAGTCCGCGCCGATGACATTGTGGCCCGCTTTGTAGAAAGCTCTTGCTAGGAACAAGCCCTTTGTCATGCCAACGCCTGTGACGATGATTGTCTTAGGGCGGAAACTGGAGTTCCCGCCACTGGCGCTGCGCCGGATGCGCTTCCTTGCAGCATCTTCGTTGCTAAGGAAAGGTCGAGCGACAACACTGGCGAAGAGGAGGAGTGTAGAGAACGGGAGGAGCAGGAGTGAAAGGGCGACAAGGGAGGCGTTCTGGGCGAAATGAAAACGATAGGGTGAGCGGGCGTCGAGCATTGTGGAAAGCGAACTGCGGTCATGCTAGGGGTCGATAGCTTGCTAGATGGGAACATGTACCAGTGAGGAGAAGTCTTCCGAAATGATGGTGAATATCAGGAAGATTCATGACAAGATGAGACTTGATTTGGCGATTCCTTTGCAAAGTGAAGCTATCCGCAACTGAGATACGTCATGAGAGCAATCGGAAGCATTTCCGCAGTGAATCCTGCACCGGTCCATTGGGCCTAGCGAAGAACGTGGATGCAATGGATGCAGTAGATGCAGTGAAGGGAGACTGATTCTGGTTGGTGTTATTGAATACCTCTATCGACGAAAATTACTTGATCTAAGTAGCCCAACGCTGCCTCATCCATGCCTTACCAAAAAACATCACTAAGGTACTTTTAAGCTCCCCATGGTCTCTATTTCCCTTGCCGCAAATGCTGACTATGCTTTGGACCCATTGGTATACCCATTGATGCCGTTAGTCAGACCATCCACAGCCCCACTGCCATTCGCAAGCTTTTCTTTAACGCCGTTGGTGCCATTCATGTGCCCATTGCGTACGATACCTCCGTGTATGGCACCATTGCCATTCAGACTACCTGCTTTCGCGGCCGCAACCTCTACAGCTTTGACTTCTGACTTGTTGTTTTCAGTGTAGCCGGTATCACTAGCGTCGACGAAAGCCTCCAGGCCCTCGCCGTTGCGTGGGTACTCCCTCATCAGCTCCTTGTGTCTTCTCAGAGCAGCGTTGAGCTCCTCCGCGTCGACATCATTTAAGAAGGTGCAAGATCCGATGGGGTTGGGCACTGCTGCACGAAGCTTGCCGTCTCTTGTCTTGAGAATGGCAGCAGTCCCCTTGTCGAGGATTTCTTCGTCAAATTGGGGGTGATCCATCGAGAGGCCCGCACGAGAAAAGAGGTTGAGAATGCGGCGATGTTCAGCATCGGAGATTAACTTGCGGCTGTTGGCGAGGGTCGCAGAGTACGCCATGTCAATGGAGATTGCATGCCCGTGGCGAAGGGGCGTTTCTGGGACCAGTTCATGCATAGGCGACCACCTGCACTCTGATCAGCTCTGTCAGAGTTTCCAAGTGCCGCTTTCCCACTCACGTGTGACCATATGCGATGACTCGATCCAACCCGATCTCGTGAAGGTTTGGGGTCTCAAGCTTCAGCATCTCATATATGCCCTCCTTGTTGATCTTGTCCGCCGCTACACGAACTTCTTCTGGCGCACCATCGGTGCGGCCAAATCCCGTATCGATAAGCTGCTCGCAGTACTTGTCCAGGAGGTCAAAGGTATCCAGGTGCGAGCACGTAGAGATCTTTATCAATTCTGCAAAGCCATTTCTGATCTGAGCAGTGGGTAGGGTGCGTAGGAAGGTGAAGTCGAGGAAGGTGTGCACAGGTGCATGATAAGCACCAAGGCGGTTCTTGTAGTTGCCATAATTGACTGCAACCTTGATTGACACTGACGCGTCTATCAGACCAATGACAGTGGTCGGAACTCGGATGAAATTGGTGTTCCTGCGGTACGCGGCACAAGCGAATCTGCGGGCGAACCACAATGTTAGGACTGGTCTTCCACCGAGGGCAACCATTAGGAGAATGATGGGAGAGTGCCTTGATATAATCTCTGGCAATGGCAGCTTTTACCCAGCAACATCAGTCACGAGACCTCCTCCAACGACCAGGACGGGTTCCTAGTTAGGTCAATGAATATGGTTGTCTTCAAAGAAGTGAAGTTTGGTGAAACGAAAAGTATTGCGAGTACCTTACGATAGATTCCGAACTCTGTCATTGAGTCTACGATACTCAAAAAAGTGGGAATAGTCTTCGCCTTCTCCCCGATCTTCGTCTTGTGCATCTTGAGTTCGAGGCCGTAATGCTCGAAGTATCTTTCAATTTGTTCACCATACACGTTGTACACATTTAGGTCCGTGACAGCCAACACTCGACCCCAGCGCTTGTAGCATTCAGCCAGCTGAGGGTTCTCGGGGTTGAACACGCCATCAAGAAAAGTGAAGTCGTAAGATATCTTCTCATAACCGTCGACATGGAATCCATTCTTGGTCTCCACGACGGATGCGGTGAAGTCCGACATGATCACAGATGTTGAAGTCGTGACAGTTTTGCGATGAAGGTTGAAAGAATGAGTTGAGTCGGGGGAAGACTAGACTCCTGTATGATGGGTGATTGTTCGAAATGAGAAAATCGGAATGGAGCTCAGTATATGGGGCTTCGGCTAGTACATGGAACTGTCCTGACGTACCTTAGGCAGCCTTGCGCTGGTCCGCCCACAAGACAAGTTTTCGGTGGGAAAGCCATATCCAAATAAACAGATAACGTCAATCCGTGGATCTGCCTTCTCCAAGCTCAATTAAAGATGCGTGATGATTTGATAGGATTTGCTCTGAGATGCCAGAGATCCCCTTGACTAGCCGCAGTGTCCTCCCGTCTGTAGTAGGTGATAGTCCATATTGACACGAGAACAAAGGCCTCAAATGGACCTAGCCTCATGATCTCTGACGCACAATGGATAGACGAGATGGTCTCTTACTAGCGATGATGCAAGATCCCGAGATGTTAGGTTGGCCACTTGCTGCAGCTTAAGCAGTGGGCGCACCTCCGCCAGTGTCAAGCGCAAAACCAGCCCACTTTTTCCTCTCACCGTCCAACAGGGGCATCCAAGCTTTTCTCTTTTTCCACAAGGTTGATCCATTTGAGAAGATTGTACTGAAATGATACAATCAGTGTTTACATCATGAGTGAAAAGCTGCAAGTTTGGCAGCATGCACCCCACAAGGCTCGATTCCCGCTTTACCTTACTAGATATTATGCGCCATGAATCCTAGATCTCGGGTAGATTGAGTTGGCTCGCAAGGTCAAGTTTCATCCTTGAATGAGGGTGTTTACTTTATGCATGATGATATACTATGACATGTTCGCTTAATTTTCCCCCTTTTCCAGTTTTTCATTGGGAGACGGCCCCTGCCCTCAGAAGCCTCTTTATGAAAAAAGGGCCGTTAAGAAAAACAGATCGGACGAAGCTCCGCGGAGGGCGCGGCATGGAATGGATCACCAACATTTTGACTTTTTAGCTGCCAAGAGTTTTGGGAGGAACCATGCAAGCCAAGTGAGGGGTACCAGGGAAAATTCGAGAAGCCTACTCCGTAGCCGACGTCAAAACTTGCTCATTGTTACATATGCATAATGTGGGAGGTACACATCACTTTCGTCATTTGCTTGTCTAAGTAAGAATTGGTGATAGTAATCGCATGGATATGTAACGTAGCTTCGATCATTATAGAATTCTCAACATGCCTGTCTCCACCATGGGCCGAAAAAGTGCAGACAACTTTGATGGAAAGAAAGCATACCAAGCACAGGAAGAAGAAGGAGTCCCATTCGTAAGTGTGCCGGATGTGTTGTCTCTGAGAGCTGTAGATTGACAACACTGTCCAGTTCGACGATGGGCGAGAGATTGAGTTACTGCACTTCGTATACGGTCATCCGTCAATAGAAGAGATTCGAAATTCTCCACAGAGAGTGCTGGAAGCCATTGACGAATACGGTCGCACCAAGAAGTATCTCATGAACGTTGGTAACGATAAAGGGAAGATCGTTGCAGACTTGATTGCGGAGCGGAAGCCTCAAGTAATGGTAGAGCTTGGTGGATATGTAGGGTACAACCGTGTAACCATGATCCCGGCTGAAAAATCCATAGCCAATTTCAGAACGGCGAGTCTGACTGTTGAGCAGGTATTCTTGCATTTTGTTCGGGGACGCTGTGAGACAAGCGGGAGGCAGAAGGTATTTCAGTCTGGAAAGGAACCCAGAATTTGCGGCTGTGATCATGTCGCTGGTAGACCTGGCGGGTTTGAGTGACACGGTCAAGGTCGTCGTGGGTTCCAGTGCCGACTCGATCAAAAGACTCCACGCGAGTGGTATCCTCACGCAGGTCGACCTAATGTTCCTCGACCACTATAAGCCAGCGTATACCACTGATCTTAAACTTTGCGAGCATTTGAAGCTGGTGACTCCGGGAGCGGTTCTTGCCGCAGACAATGTCATCAAGCCAGGCAATCCACCATACCTAGAATACGTTCGGAGCAGTGTGTCAAGTAAGCAAAAACAGTACGAGTCTGGTGAGACGAACGGAGTCGAAACCACTGGCTTTGGAGACAGATGGAAGGATCAATATAAAACCCGCGAAGGGGAAGAAAAGTTGAGCACGGAAATTAAAGGGAATCCGAACTTGATATACGAGAGCGAGCTTGTCAATAGCTACGAACCGACAGGTGTACCGGTACTACTATCGAGCAATGTTTCATCCAGTGGTGTCCGCTAATTGGTAACAGGACGGTATCGAGATCACAAGATGTATTGGAGAAGTCGAAGTCGAAGTCGAGATGAACGGAAAAAGGAATGACTTACGGCAATCTTAGCCATGGAATGACATAAAGTAGCACTGTCCATTGCTCGATTAGAGCCAGCTCAGTGGTGATGAGATGCGTTCTTTCCAGGCACTGAAGCACGAAGGAAAGACAAGGAAAGTCAACATTCAAAGCTGGTGGTAGAGGAAATGAGAGTGTTGCGCTAGCTTGCTTTTCATCTCATCAGGTTTCTTCGACTCTTGCTCATCGCAAAGAGGTCAAAAACGTTATCACTTGTCATGAAAAGAAATAATTGCGTATACTAAAGTTGCAGGCCCCCGTAGCAACATTAGTGATTTCCCCACCCTCCAACTTTACCCTGCTCCCCACTCGGAAAGCATGCTACCCATGACGATGGCGGTCTCTTGCTCACCACCATTGCTCTTTGGCCTCAAAGCTTGGATCTTGGACCCAGGATAATATTTGAGCAATGACTCCTACGACCTACAACGTCGCCGTCATCGGCTATGGCATGTCCGCTAAAGTAAGTCAGACCCACAGCCGTCAACCAATTGCCCGTCAAACTCAAGAGGTCTTCTCCCATGCTGATTCCCACTGCAGGTCTTCCATATCCCCCTAATCCAAGTCATTCCAGAGTTGAAGCTCCACGCCATCGTCCAACGTACCCCACAGTCCCACGATGACGCCGCGAAAGACCACGCAGGCATCAAGAGCTATCGCTCAAGCGAAGAGATGGTCCAAGACTCAGATATTGACGTCGTGGTAGTTACGACAGCCCCAACAAGTCACTTCGAACTCGCCAAATTAGCTCTTGAGCATGGCAAACATGTCGTCGTTGAAAAACCTTTCACACCCTCCTCGAAAGAAGCAAGCGAGCTCATTGCCATTGCAAAGAAGCATGATCGGCTCCTCACCGTCTACCAGAACCGCCGATGGGATACCGATTTCCTGACCCTCTCAAAGCTGCTGGAGCAAGGAACACTCGGCCGCGTGGTGGAATTTGAGACACACTTCGACCGACACAGACCTGAGGCTCCAGATCCTGCGAGTACCTGGAAGGCAAAGTTCGTACCTGGTGGAGGGGCGGTGTACGATTTAGGGACACACTTGATAGATCAGGCAGTAGTGGCTTTTGGCCTACCGGACAAAATCACTGGATTTGTTGGGTCCCAGCGGGAGCACAATCCTGGGAAAGTTGAGGACTCGTGTACTGTACTGCTTCACTATAGTAACTCCGGTTTGCTGGCAACCGTGAAAGCTGCGGTGGTGAGTCCAGAGGTTAATCAGCTACGGTACTGGGTGCGGGGGGACAAGGGAAGCTACAAGAAGGTGAATTACTTACCCTGTCTATGCGTGCCTTAGCTCGATGCTAATTGACCCCCATTCAGTTCCACCTCGATCCCCAAGAGGACCACCTCAAAGCAGGCAAGAAGCCTGGTGACTCCGGTTTCGGCGTCGAATCGAAAGAACGCGCGGGCAACTTGACGACCGTACAAGGCGGTCAGCCTAAGACGCAGACGCATGCCAATATCGAGCCCGTCACATACAGCGCATTCTACAGCAAATTTGCCAAGGCATTAGCTGGGCAAGGCGAGGTGCCAGTGAAGCCTGAGACTCCAAAGGATGTCATTCGCTTGATCGAGCTGGCAAGGTTGAGCTCGAAGGAAGGAAGGACACTGGATATCAGAGAACATTATGCGGAGATAGATGGATAGTACTCTATATAGAGTAAGCGTAGGCAGAGTACAAAGTCATCCATCATCATTCGCATCTCTGCACTTCTCTCAGAGATGTTCTTAGCGTTTGTATCCTTATTCTACCGGTGAAGCTACGCGACGTGAAACACGCAGCGTTGAGATCCTGCTCATTTCCGGTGGCGACAGCATTGACTGATTGATTGATTAAGTCATACTGGACATCCTACCGGATAACCCGCGGGCTTCTCAGGCGTCAAAGGCCCAGCCAGATACATCGTCCTCCAGGCTTCCCAGACCCGGAATGGATGCCTCCTCTATCTAACACAAACCCTTACGGGCCCTACGCCCCCACATGATGATGATTGAGCCCCCAGAAACCCACTGTGCGGCCGCACAAGCACCGAAAGTCCCCCGAAAGTCCACTGTGCGGCAAATTTCACTAACACCTGCTGTAAGAGAATGAGATGAAATGATAAGCCAAGTCCGAAATGCTCATAGGGGCTACGAGCTAGCCTGGTGCCCCCAAGAGCGCCCCATTAACCATGCAATTTCCAACTTGCCGTCTCCATGTATCATTGACAATCTCGAGTGCCATGAAAGCAATGCGTTCCTATATCCAGTAGACGTTCTCGAGTCATCAAACAATACCGGTGTCGTAAAGAGGTGTCAATTTGCCCCATGCATCGATCTTGAGATATGTGTGACGCTAGGAAACTTCTAAGCGATCTTTCCTGGTGGCTCCAAAAAAAATTGTGAAATCACCAAAACTGCTCCACACGTGAAACGCCCAAGAAATTCATTTTCGACCTAAGTACAGAAGACAAGAGGCTGTACATATCACAACTCCCATAGCATTTCCCAAGCGACGTTGTTGTCACCTCTCCGCGAGAGCGTAACATTTCTCTTGCTGCTTAGGCTTCAGCCAATCGATAAGGCCCCACCAGCCCACCGACATTCCTACCGCAACCGCATCTTCGCCTTCTTCACTTTCTCGACACCTCACCACCTACTACCATGGTATCTGCCTCGAAAGCAGCCCGTCAGGCCAAACGCGCCGAGGATGGAAAAGACAAAAAGAAGACCGCAACTTCGAAACTCTCCTCCAAAGCAGCCTCACAGAATGGATCTTCAGCCTCTTCTGTCAACGGCGATGAGACGCCACCCCTACTCGACGGCGATGGCAACGCCTTACCCGATGACGAGCAACCCGCAACGACGAATGAGAAGATGAAGGATGTGAAGAAGCTAACGGATCAGATGGACAAGCATGGCTTGTCGGATCGTGTCACAACTGGTGTGCTGGCATCGCTGGCTACGAGTCGGGATGTGAAGATCAACTCGGCATCGCTTGTGTTTCACGGCAAGGTCTTGATCACTGACACTACCCTCGAGCTCAATTATAGCCGCAGATACGGTTTACTGGGAGAGAACGGATGCGGGAAGTCTACACTCTTAAAGGCAATCGACAAGCGAGAATACCCAATACCAGAGCAAGTCGATATCTACTTGTTGAATGAGGGTGCTCCCCCAAGTGACTTGGGAGCGCTGGAATGGGTTGTGCGAGAGGCAGAAATTGAGATGGAGAGGTTAGACAAATTGGCTGAAGAGATCTTGGAGAAGAATGGGCCCGAGGATCCTATCCTTGAAGATCTTTACGAGGCATGTCTACTTCAACGCTCTCTTCTTGGGTATGCTAATGTCAATAGCGAATGGAAACTATGGACCCCTCAACCTTCCAAACTCGTGCCTCCCTCATCCTGACTGGCCTCGGCTTTAACAAGCAAACGATCCACAAACGCACAAAAGACATGTCCGGTGGATGGAGAATGCGTGTAGCACTCGGCAAAGCTCTCTTCGTCAAACCCTCCCTTCTACTCCTCGACGACCCAACAGCACATTTGGACCTCGAAGCCTGCGTATGGCTGGAAGAATACCTAAAGAAATGGGACCGTACCCTCATCCTTGTCTCTCACTCCATGGACTTCCTGAACGGTGTCTGCACGAACATGATCGACATGCGGATGAAACAACTGATATACTACGGTGGTAACTACGATTCATACATTAAGACTCGCTCAGAACAAGAGACCAATCAAATGAAGGCGTACGCGAAGCAACAGGAAGAAATTTCGCACATCAAGAAATTCATCGCATCTGCAGGTACGTATGCCAACTTGGTTCGACAAGCAAAATCAAGGCAAAAGATTCTCGACAAGATGGAGGCGGACGGGTTCATCCAGAAAGTAGCAGAAGATCGAGTCTTCACCTTTCGTTTTGCCGATGTCGAGAAGCTGCCACCTCCAGTCCTCTCGTTTGACGACGTGACCTTCTCCTACTCCGGTAACGCGAAGGATGACCTCTACAAGAACCTAGACCTTGGTGTGGACATGGACAGTCGAACGGCTCTCGTGGGTCCCAACGGTGTCGGGAAATCTACACTTCTCCGCCTCATGACTGGCAAGCTGTCACCTACCAACGGGGTCGTTTCAAGGCATACCCACTTGAAGCTCGGCATGTACAGCCAGCATTCCGCCGAGCAACTGGACCTGACAAAGTCGGCTCTGGATTTCGTGCGAGATAAGTACTCAGACAAGAGCCAGGATTACCAATACTGGAGACAACAACTTGGCCGATATGGGCTGTCTGGAGAGTCACAAACAGCATTGATGGGAACATTGTCAGAGGGTCAGAAGAGTAGGATCGTATTCGCTTTGCTTGCTATTGATGGGCCGAACATGCTGTTATTGGACGAGCCTACGAATGGATTGGATATTCCCACAATCGATTCGCTGGCAGATGCCATCAAGGCATTCAGTGGTGGCGTTGTGGTCGTTTCTCACGATTTCAGGTATGCCTCTACCCTCTCTCTTGCAGTGGGGTTGAACGCTAACAGTGGCATTTCAGATTACTTGACAAGATCGCCAAAGACATCATGGTCTGCGAGAACAAGACGATTCGACGATGGGACGGCAGCATTGGCGAGTACAAGAACTACTTGCGGAAGAAGATGGTTACGATGGGCCAGGTTTAGGCCTGCAAATCCTCGACAGGAGGTTGGGAAATTCATCCGGATGGTTTCGGTCATCGAAGGCAAAGGATAAGTCTACGTCTCATTATGCAGTACAGCCTCACAGCGAAGTTTTGCATGTGAGCCGCATCATCGATGAAGCATGGGCTGCACAATCATAGAGGCGTTTAGAATGACAGGTTTCCTTATACCACCAGAAAAGTCCTTCTTCATGAGATTCATGCACACCGTACTGCTCCATGCCAGGATGTGTTTCCACACCGGTATTACTCATTGCATCCCCGCAGAAAAAAACTCCACCCTCCACTCCATCTCCAACCAGCCTGCAGAATCGCCACCCACGTCTCTGCCTTTGCTGTCCGTTTCAGCAAGAGTGGGCATGTGTTCTCAAGAGACACTTCGAGCCCAACGACACCTGTAATATTCCCGGCGTAGACTGAGCTCGACGGTCCTCCTGCCTCCATAACGATTGTTATAAAGGTGTCAACGCTTACTGCGCCAATCCGATTCTTCGCCCGATCTAGCAATGACGGCACTCGACCCAACTCTTTCTCTGCCCCATACCTTATCTCTTCGATCACGCTTTCTGAACAGCCGTGGGACACTTCCCCTCGCGACCTCGATCCGTACTGTCAGCGCTTCCGTGGCCTTGGGCTCCAATTGAAGAGGTAATTCTCGTGGTGTGTAAGGATGCTCATATTTCTTGCTATGAAATTGCTATGTATGTAACCGTGCTAGCCATATGTGGCCGAGCAAGTAGCCACTTCCACAAAGCACCCCCTTTGAAAAGCGAGCTACCATGCGAGAACAAAAAAAAGCTGATGAAGTGCATCGTCGACCATATGAGCTACCTCGGCCTCCCCTAGCAGGAAAACAAACCAGCGTAGTGTCGTGAAGTCGTTGGCAATTTGCCGGAAATAGTAAACCAAATAACCCGCAATTCCATAGCGAACTGGCCATCAATCAAGGCTTTCCGGCTTGGCCTTGTATGCAGCCTTCAACTCCTGCTGATGGCCTAGCAAGTAGCCACTTCCACAGCGGTGCCTCTGACCCGCAGATTTTTGACGAGGTGGTATTTTCTCGTGGGGCAGCTTATTTTTTTGTGATGTGCCTCTCCATCGTTCCAGAACCAAATGCCGCTTTCTTTTCGGCCTTGGTCTCATGTTCGGGCTCGGCCTGTGATATATTCCCAGATGATTTGGTAATTGACGTGGTTCGCTGGAAGTGCGGCAGGCCTGCACCTCCACACAAAGTCCAGTTCTTCGGCGTGATCTGGCCGGTATCTGACATTGCGCCAGTCGATACTGTACTTATTCATGGTTTCGGACAGGTCGAGAGCTGCCGTTCCGACGGCCGTTGGCCATACCTCTCCGCCTTCCGCGAAGCGATGTGACGCTGATCTGTACGTGTGCCATTGTTGAGGCGGAGATGTGGACTCGGAACGCATCGCTTGTCTGCTTTGGAGCCCTCGAGGTACATGGCACGTTGACTTCGGGGGTCCACGCAGATGTTTAGACCCGTCGTAGACACCTTTTCTTTCGCCTCTGTATTTGTCTCCGGGCCCACGCTTCGCCAATGGTAGGGATGGAACAAATCATCGCCACAGAGTGAGACGACGATGCGCCTTATTTTAGAGGCACGGTCCCGGTAGTGAACAGCACTCGGAACATCACCAACAGTAGTACCCGATGCTCTGCAGAGAGCTTGTAGTACGTAGCGTTGGAAAGATAATTTCGAGAGCGGACTGTAAAACAAATTGCAAATGAGAAATGTTGATGATGTTCATTTTCGTATTCACAACTCAAAAAAGGAGTCCTTCGGGCAAGAAGTAGGTGAATGACGAGTCGTCACAGGCATGCGGTGATGACTTTCCCGTGACGAAGAAACAGGTTTCCCGAGAAAGTAGATTCTTTGGTTTGAAGAAAGGACGTCTTCTGGTGTAGAAAGTGTTATCCTGGTAGAAGAAAACTTCTGGTGTGAGAATAGTCTCTGGTGCGGAATGGTGAGGATGGTGGGTGAACACAGGAAAGCAGGTGTTGCTACCAATTATTAAGATTACAGATATGAGAAGTAAGCATATACTCCGGGAAAGTAGTTTCACGACGAAGAAGAAAGGTGTTTCTTTGCATGGTTGTAGTTGATTGATTGATGTCTCCAGAAAGCATGAAGAAACGAAGAAAGTAAGCTACGCCAAGTCACGGAAACGTAACAAGTTGCCCCCTTCTTGTAAAAGCCATCCCGTCCTCGGGCTTTTCCTCAAGCTAGGCCGGACCTGAGGCAGACACCGACTGGGGAAAGGGAAGGCATGAAGGTCCAGGAAAGGCGACTGAGGCAGACACCGGACTGAAAAGAGGGAAAGGGAAAGCATGAAGGTCCAGTGCAAGCGTCCCAAAAGTCTCAGGCAGGGTCAACAGGGTGATCTCCTCTTGACGAGAGATCAGCGTCGAACGTATTTACTGTCTGAGCGTACGTCACCACGTATCAAAACTTGGGAAAACATTCCCAATGGAGGATCTTCTTGCATGCTCGAGGAAAAATGGGAGAAGCAGACTCAACATATCCTATTTTCGTTCGCTGACAATCACACCCTCTGCTATCCACGGGTCCTGGACTGTGTGTTCTTTCAAAGCGACTCGCTCAACAGACTACCCTCAGACGAGTATGCCAACTGATAATGAAATCTTCGATTTGGCGTCGATGATACTGGCTCCGTGGCACTGGAAACCCCGATCTGAATCATGCAATCAAGGACGTCCATCGAATTTTGAATGAGGATATAACGAAACTTGCATAGGCAACAGAAAGAGCATTGAAAGAGATACGTGTTCGAGAGAGCTCTGTAGCTGTTCACAGGGCTGACAGCCCGCAAGGCAGGTGCTGGCCGGGTTTCCATCTTCCAAGCTTCTTTCATATGATCAGATATTCCAGTATCGACGGCTTGGGGGGCGGAGTTTCTGGGGGCGGAGAAGAGCTTGTAGATTCCGACATCAAAGAAGCGAGAGAATCGTTGCTCTTCGCAGTAACAAGCTTGCTTCTCTGATGTGCTCTAATTGAAATCTCGAGCTGCTCCGTCTGGCTTCCATTTGGCATCAGCTGTGATGCAATCAGAAACTCGGTCTTGAACTCCTTGAACGTTTATAGAATCCTAGACTCGCTCTAGATAAGGGAGAGGACACGAGGAGAACTTCAAGCAACTCGTCGCTTTTGCTGGGGTAGATACCCAGTCATGACAACTCGCTTTGTGTCAGCAACTCCGAGATGACGGGTCTGAAGGTGTCGGGATTTCTTTGCGGAGACGTTGGGGAGACAGAAAATGTGAGCTCTCTGTAGGCTTGCATGACATGATCGATTCACCTCGTCTTACCGTCCGAGAATTTTGAAGAAGCACGCCACTGGTATCTCGGTGAGTGTCGATGCAACAAGGAGACATTATTAAGGAACCAGCGAGAAGAGAAATAGGTATATTCTTCGAGCAGTGAAAATAGTCGCAAGGCATGAAGAAAACAAATTCACGAAGAAAGGTAATTCTTTGATTTGTGTAAGTTGGTTTTTCCATGAAAGCTATGGAAGAAGAAGAAGAAGAAAGCTACATCTCGCCAAGTCACGCTAAGAACGTAACAACTTGCCCCCCTTCGTGAAAGCCGTTATCGTGCTTGAGGCTTTTCGTCAAGTCAAGGCAGGATCGAGTCTCCTTCTTCCACGATATCGATTCTACAACTCGTGGTAGTAACGTTCCAGAGGATTAGGTCCTCCCTCACTTCCATCGGTTACTTCACTTCCATCGGTCAGACCTTCTTCCAATTCGTCCAGGCCCTCTGGCCTATTATTTTCGTCGCCAGTCCAATTATGCTCTTTGCAAAAAATCCAGCGCTTTCTTCAGAGCTTGTTCTCCTGAACTTGGGTTTTGCGTAGGGAAGGAATGATCTGGCTTCGGGACAGAAAGGTGGAATCGGAGTCGGGACAGGAGTTGAAGAATCCTGTTGAATATCTCCAGCCTTCTTGGAAGTCTAAGCTCGTTCGATCTCACAGCGGAGTCAAATGCAGTTTCTAAAGTCATGGTGTTGAGCTAAATATGGAATTCAAAAGCCAAGTGATGGGCAATTCTGCGGCTTGTGTTGAGCGATGCCATCTTCACATCGCTCCACTCGTTCGCTAGGTCTGACATTGGCCAGTTGGCTGATCTTAGTACGGCCAGATTCAATTGGCCTCACTAACAGCAGAAGATTCACTCTGATATATTTCGCTTTCGTAAAACCTCCGTCTGGTATCAGCTTGAACTGATCAAGCGCAACTGCAAGAAGATATGCTGGATGTGGTTGGTATGTTGACTTGACGTGATTTTTTGCAAAAGGTCGAGGCATTGTCGCGGCCTACTGCGGTCGAGGAATCGACCCGATCTGTTTTTGGGGAATCGAATGTCATGAGCATGGATAGATCCCGAGCGACTGCCATGGAGAGAATTTGGCTTTACAGAAGGCTGATGTCCCAGTCGACGCATCGCATTCAGTTTATGCAACAGAACTTCCAGCCGGTTTTACATCACCCTTTATATTTGTGCCCTAAGGTGAAGTGCTTGCTTCCATGCAACTGTATTTATATTTTGTCTGATCTGAGTTCCCTCAATTAAGAGCTGCTCTGTATCCTAAGATTCTTGGAATGCACAAGTGTATGCATGTCAAAGACTGTCCACTCTCTGCGTCATGACCTGTCTGAGCGCTCCAACGGGCTCATCGGGTAAAAGGTTAGACAATGTGGTGGAGATGGCCGCGTTCGTGACCTTGGATATGTTGTCACACAAGTTCATTATTGTCCTCTGATACACTGCCCGCTGCATACTGATAATGAATGACGGGATTCTTTGTTTGACCCTGCTATAGGCATCTTTGCCAGTCTCGCCAGCTAGTTCTGTCATAGATAGCACCATTTCAGTTGAATGATAGCATAGCCAGATGCCACATTGATAGATGTCGCTATTGCGATCAGCAACAATGAGTAATCAATCCGGCGGCAGGAGTCGCCATCTTGTCAGCTTCGATTCTTGTAGCTTTTCACTCAATAGAATTCGGGTTTTGGTCAGAAAGAATTCAAGCCTCTTGACGTGCACTAGTAGATGCTGGTTTGAAGTGTATTTATCTTCGTAGACTCCTCTCAATCACTAGGTGTGAGCTTCCGGTGGCTGCTTGGGACAATCTAGAGACTAGCACGGTTTGTCAGAATCATTTAACAAATGAGAGCACGATGTATCAATGGAGAGCGACTCCGACACTCCTCGAATGACCAAAGTGTAGACGTGAGCGGGCCACGAACAGCTCGGGGTTTTTTTAATGAAGCACAGGCGGGTGATACGTCACCGTGACATGCAACAAAGAGGGCAGAAATTTGTCGTTGACTGATGATGAAGGATGGAAAGAGGAGTAAGAAATCGTAAATGCTGAGAATAGAACTCTGGAATGTGAATCGGGGCTCCCGACACCGGCTCTCTGCGTTGTAAAACAGCAGGTCTCTAGCTAAAGAAAAGGTATACACGACTCAGATATAGGACGGACGCAATTTTCACTGCGTGCTTAAGTGAAGCATCCAGAGTCAAAGAGAAGGAGGCGACAGCTCAACTAATTCTATTAAGGCCATCATGTCAAGATTTGTTTAAGACAGGCTCCGAAACTGAAGTAGACTGCCGACGATGGCGTTGGCGCCAAGGCAGAAGCCCGTGTAGCATCCCCGCCATCACTAACCACGAGGTCCTCCTGCTCCTACAAGTACAAACCCTCAGGCTCCCCCTCAGTCTTCGTCTTCATCACTCTTTCTCGTGCTGATCTGAAGTCTGCCATCTGGACCCTCATCCTGCGCTCACGGAGGGCCATCAGTCCAGCCTCAGAGCAGATGGCTTTGATGTCAGCGCCAGAGAGGTCATCTTTCTGGTTGATGAACTCGTCAAGCTCGACGTCGTCGTTTAAGGACATCTTGGATGTGTGGAGGGTGAAGATCTTCTTCTTAGTATTCTCTGTACACAGATTAACACTGTTGACGATGGTGAAGGGAGGAGTAGAGTAAAGGCGACCTACGGTCTGGGTTCTCAAAAAGGATTTTGCGGTCAATTCTTCCAGGGCGAATGAGAGCAGGATCTAACGTGTCAATCTTGTTGGTGGCCAGAATGACCTTGACATCTCCTCTGTCATCAAAACCATCCAGCTGGTTGAGCAACTCTAGCATAGTCCGCTGCACTTCACGCTCTCCTCCAGATGTTGACTCGTAACGCTTTGTACCGATGGCATCGATCTCGTCGATGAAGACAATCGAAGGTGCGTGCTCGGCGGCGACCTGAAAAATTTGACGAACCAGCCGTGGCCCATCACCCAGGTACTTCTGAATGAGTTCACTGCCTACGATGCGAAGGAACGTAGCGCTGGTCTGATTTGCAACGGCTTTGGCGAGTAAAGTTTTCCCGGTCCCAGGTCCACCATAAAGTATGACACCTTTTGGCGGCTTGATCCCCATCTCTTCGTAGAGTTCCGGATGCAATAGTGGTAGCTCGACAGCTTCTCGTACTTCTTGGATCTGTTGCTCAAGTCCACCGATGTCTGCATATGACTCCGTAGGTGCCTTGTCTAACTTCATGACCGACACCAACGGATCCGCGTCATCCGTCAGGACACCAACCACCGAGACTGATTTATGATGTAGCAAGATGCTAGCTCCGGGCTCGAGAAGGTCCTTGTCGACGAAAGACATGATGGAAACGTAGTACTCAGGCCCAGTGGCGCTGGAGACGATGGCGTGGTCATCGTCAATCATTTCCTCCAAATTGCCGACGCCCATCGGGCTGCCTCTCATATCATCAACACGACTCCTTTCGTCGGCATTCCTATCCAAAGCATCGGAATCTCCACCTGCTGATGCTGGAGTGGCAGTGTTCTGTGCCTTTGCTTTGCGTATTCGCTCTTGATTCTCTACATATTCCTCTTCAAGTAGAAGGTGGTCATGTACACGTTGCATCCGTAGGTACTTCAGCTTGCACCGAGATGTAGGATAGATGACTGGTAGCTTGGTTGATGCATTTGGACCAGCGGCCTTGCGCTTTCTTCGGCCGATACGCGTCGTCGGAGGTGGAGGCTGTTCATACTTGGGCTTGTCCTTCTGTGATGACCAGAATATTAGCTGGACTCCAGCATCAGTATGGAGACGCTGAGCACTCATACCTTTTTGTCCTTATCATCCTTACCATCTCCACCTGGTGGAGCACCACCGAGACCAGAGGTATTGTTTCCCTAGATGGACGTTTCATCAGTCGCTGTTTGAATCGCCGCCATGAACACCGAACGAGCTTACCATGACAAGTTCAATCAGATATGAGTCAGTCAGGTATGGGCGATGAAGGCTGAATGCTCGAGATGTATTCAAAGAGCTGTCCAACAAGAGTGGTGAGAATAGTGAGGCGATAGTGGATGGTAAACGTGGACAAGTGATGATGAGAGCTTGGCTTGGCAATTCTGCGCAGCTGGCGATCTTTGATCTGATTGGCCAACAAGCTTTCTACCAAGAAACTGCAGCCTTACCAACGGCAATGATTCTGCGATGCAACTCTTCACTTCTCGGATTCCTTTATGTGAATCATACTCGCTCTCAGAGTGAAGCTACTACTCAACCCGAACTTACACTCTGATGCTTTCTCGCCATTGACTCACCACCACCACGCTGTGCTATCTTCCGCAAGCTACCTCTAGATCTCCGACTCATCTCGAGACTGTCACACCATCTCTTTGTCCATCTCAAGGTCGACATTGACGGCACAAAGAAAATTTGTCTTCACAGACAGAGGTTGCCTACAGGTCTCACAACACAAAGCAGCCTTCGGGCGGAGTCGCTACAATAACTTTGTTCAATTTCCAGCCATCTCTCCTCGTTATAAACCCATCTACAACTCGCCTTCCACAAGCTCATCTTCACATTACCTCCAGCCATGTCATCCAGCCGTACTCGCCGCATTGCAAAAGAAGTGGCCGATATCCACTCGGACAATCTCTCAAACATAAAGGCAGATCCAGTAGGGAATGGAGATGACCTGACCCATCTCAAGGGCTCCTTCAAGGGTCCACCTGGCACACCATATGAGGGAGGCACATATACGATCGACGTCAAGATACCTAATGACTACCCTTTCCGGCCGCCAGTGATGAAGTTCGATACAAAGGTATGGCATCCAAACGTTAGCAGCCAAACGGTAAGTGAATGCTCTCCTCCCATTATTTTACAAAGCCGAAGCTGACAGACGGACTGATAGGGTGCCATCTGCCTCGATACTCTCTCCACTGCTTGGTCCCCCGTCCTTACCGTTAAATCTGCTCTCTTGTCCCTTCAATCCCTTCTCAGCACGCCAGAACCCAAAGACCCACAGGATGCAGAGGTGGCCGGCATGCTGACGAGGAATCCGAAGGAATTCGAACGGGTTGCCCATGAGTGGGCTGTGAAGTACGCTGGGGCACCGAAGAAAGAGACTGGGGAAGGTAGTGGTGGCTCCAAGCCGGAGACAGCAAAGCAGAAGCAGAAGAGGTCGAAGGAGGAGGAGGCGGCAGAGAGGGCTGCTCTGTATGTTCACCCCAACGTACTGGCCGCAGGTGCGGTTGCTGATATCTACAGGTACGGGGGATATAACGAACAAATGATCAACCGCTTCGTATGGATGGGCTTCGACCTCGACCGGGTGGTCTCAGCCTTTGACTACGTCGGCATCGATCCCAATGATGGGGAGGATTACGAACTGGAGGAGGCATACATTGGAGATATCACAGCTAGGCTTTTGGGCGAGCCATAGCAGCGAGTGCTCAAGGTTTCTGCTGCTCACGCATGGTCTGGTGTTAGGATAATGGCAAGCCTGCTACCGGGAATGAGATTGAAGCTCAGGATTTGGAGCTATGTATAATGACACCCATCACTTGACTGTTGACATCCCGGAGTCTCGTCTAATTACGACACGTACATTCTCCTGGGTGCATGCCTCTCCATGCTAGATACCATTCAATGAGATATGATTTGCCACTCCCCAAAGTCTCTTGTTGCCCATCTCTCTTGGCATGATCAACAAAAGATACGCACAACGAGATCAATTAGGCTTCAAGCAAAAGATTGCTGATCACAAACTTCGTTGTCCGTGCCCAAATATATACTGCGTACCTACATTAGTCGCTCACAACCTCTCAATCTCTAGCGTGGGGTGAGAGCCGTTACAAAGTTGCAACCCTAATAAATACCCGTAGAGGCGTGACGCGGGAGCCGTAATGCGGGGAAGGCGCAAATGAATTTCTTGGCTTTTCCTTTTCTTTTCCTTTCCTCGAACCCTTGCCTCTCTTCTACGGCACGGCACAAGCGACTAGACAACTGACCTCATGCGCAGGCATCATCTGTTGAACGACATACTCTCATCACGCTACCCAACAATGTTGCTGTACAGTTCGCAGCCGGACAAATTCGCTCCGCGCTCCTCGCATCTCGCGTCGATCACGAGAACCGCTACATTCGCCCCTCCAGCCCTCGAGCCGAAATCCGCTGTCTTTGGTCAGCAGCTACTGTTGTACTGCCGAGGAAAAGACCGCCGATGACTTCCACTGGGAAGACGGAAAAGCAAGAGATGCCGTACGAAGCGTTCGACGACGAGCCTGCACTCGGTGGACGAATTGCGACAGACTTCGACACGCACGTTGTGCCCACCTTCATCGACCGAGGCAACAGAGGCAATGCACGAACACGAGGTCTCGGCTCGATCCTCAAGCTCGGGCAAAAAATCTCAACATCGTCCTCGTAGTCTTCTACGTGCTCTACATTCTTATCGACGTCCCAAGCAACTGGTTCGTTGAATTTGTTGGCACCGGACACTACTGCCTAGGACTCATCAGTCGTCATCGGTTGGGGAATCGTAGGAACGCGTCTAGGCACTGTCAAGAGGTATCGCGGCCTTATCGCTGCACGGTTCTTCTTAGGATTCTGCGAGGCAGGCTTACTTGGAGCCCTGGTCCTCTATCTAATGATCAACCATTGACATGAACTGCTGTGCCGCTGGGAACGTTCTACTGCGCTGCACCTTTGGGTGGAGCCTTTGGTGAAACTTTTTGCCTCTGGATTGGCCAAGATAAGGTTCGGTGGACATGTTAGATTGTGGAAGATTTACTTTGTGGAAAGATTTACTTTGTGGAAAGATTTACTTTGTGGAAAGATTTACTTTGTGGAAAGATTTGCTTTTCGGACAGATTTACTTTTTGGAAAGATTTACTTTGTGGTAGGGCTAGCATGGTGCTGTTCTTCATCCCACATACGCCTGAACGAGCGACGTACTTGACGGAGGAGGAGAAAGCTGCGGCTTCTTTTTGCATGAAGTTCCATGCCTATGGAGGTAGCAACAAGTCCGACTCAGAATTTGAAACGTTCCCATGGACGTGGGCTTGTATGGATGTTGTAAAGCGGATACGGCATCTCTGTCATAAGATCTCCTTGTCATTATTACACCAATCTACGGCTTCTGCCTTCTTCTTCCAGTGGGTCTTCATATGTCTTGTGGCTGATCAAAGCAAGGTTGAGCTGAAAGACCCGCGGAGCATTCGGAGTTTCGTGAAGAGTCTTGAAGCTGAAGCATCAGCTCTAAAGAGATCTCGGATTAGAGTAGCGTCATTGCACAGCTCTCTATGATCCCGCCCAACACATGGGCCTTGATTGGGTAGCAGAACTTTCAAGAGTAATGCTCTGCACATACCTGTCAGACGAAAGTAAGGCGCGAGAGCCAATCGTGATAAGGGTTGCTCACTTGCATTTGTTGGTTACACAATGCCTTTTGTTCCTGCAAGGCCCCGAATGCATCATGGACAGTGATTGGCTTACACTGATCATCCTGCGCATTACTGACTCAAGCGTAGAACTTCCTTCGTCGCTGCAAGTCATTCGAGACTGCGCCATGTTGCAAGACTTTCAGGTGAAGTGGCGGTGTCCTGGGCGTTACTGACTCAAGCGTAGAACTCTCTTCGTCGATGCCGGTAATTTGAAACTGCGCAGTGTTGTAAGACTTTCAGGTGAAGTGGTGGTGTCCAAGGCGTTCTGTCAGGCTCTAGTGCAATCATAGGCTTGTACCAATCGAGCCGCATCTGCAATATGTGCAGGAGTTACAGTAAGCAAGGCTCGCCAATCATCTCACCCTTGATTACTCGAACCTTACAAGGACTGGGTGTGGGCTGGCGATCGATGCTACGTTCATCGCAACTTTTACTTGTTTGCGAGGCGATGCGTAAGCGAGCCATTCTTTTGGTACGGCTGCTTGTAACTGATAAGGACCTCTAGGCCTCGCTACGTGACGGAACATCCCATCAACAAAGAAAACCTCGTACGGAGTATCCTCTCCGATCTTGTCTGCGGCTAAAAAAAAATATGCTAAATAGGAGAACATGAAGCAGGCTAACGGCGAAAGGCTTGCCGAGCACCACGAGAATAACCTTGAACATCGGCATCCCAGTATTCAGGTACACCATTCAGCTGAGGGCTTCACGATCATGGAGCAGGCTTTGCCGGCAGTGTACGGGACCACTACCAGACTGTCGGGCTTTGATGTTGCATTCTCAAAGTTCGGCCGCCGCCCCAAATAATCGATTAAACATTTGAATAAAAAAGAAAGAAAAAAAACGTCCCGAATGGTGTCCAATTAGGGAAGTGGCTATCAGTTCGAATTAGCCACCCACGAGCACCCACGACATTAAGCATTTCCACGATATGGAGGGTACTCCAAATAAGCTCCTAAATTCCGCTGATCCTTGTCCGTATCTGTCCGGCCGAAGCAACCCGGGGGTGATGCTACAGCTGATTTGAGAAGAAAACGGGGTCCTGCAGGTGAGCTTATGATACATGCATATGCGTATGCAAGTCAGCACGGGATGGCGCATTTTAGCCAGTCATATACCAATAGATTACGTACCCCGGCACGTTCTATAATCAGTGGTGGCTTCGCGCTTGTCGCCTCTTATCTTTTGACTTTCTCGCTGCGCTCCTGTCTTGTTAACTTGTTCCGTTCAGCGTTTAGCCAACTGCTGGGCCGCGATTCAAGAGTCGACCCACTGTTTCTCACTTCTTTTTTATGTTGCAGTATTTCCATTCTTTTCCTCCGGCATCTTGCATGACACTGCATACACCAAGCCAGATGAGGCCGAGTCTCTCGAGTCTCATCGCATCACAATTGAACAATGCCTTGGTTGGACGCGGAATTCAGGGAATGGAGCTGTCAGACGGGCACAAATGGGTTTCCAGAGAGTCTACGTACCTTTCGCCGCTGCGGGTCCTCCAAGTTCCTAGGAACAGCGCCAAACAAAAAGGCCTCACGCAAGCCAGGCGTGGGGCAGACTCAAACGGTCTGCTCTTCAGAATCGAATTCCACGAAATCGCTCTGTCAGTCACTCGCTTCTGCATTATCGAACCAATGCCAGATGAGATCAACGGCGTGCCTGCGCCGACATTATTCTATGGGTCCAATAGTATCGGCAAAGGCCTTGGCTCTCGTATCGAGACTCGAGAGCATGCAGGTCTGCAAGTCGACCTTCTCGGACCCTAGAAAGCATACTAGCTTCTGCTTGCAGGATCGCTGATCTGGAGCCCTTGTAACTCTTACGGCCATGTCGGCACTTTCCCACCACGGTACCTTCCCAAGACCTCACCATGTCCGGCACCGCTTCATCTGGACATGATTTCCATTGGTGCTCCGAAAAAGAGTGGGCCAAGCTATGCGAAGAATTCAACCACACATAACATACCCACCATGACTCAACAAACAGGTCATAAGACAGCTAGACAAGGGCTAGAAGAAGGCAGGCCCCCCAGATCTCTACTAACAAGCACAGGACCTCCGCCATCAATCGTTAATTCAACACTCGCTGCAACCTCACAACACCCCAGGACCAACTCCTCAACAACAACTTTAACACCAACACCCAGTGAATACTCCCCCTCATCACCTCGACCATGAAGACCTTTACCACCCTCGTGGCTGCCTGTGCAGTTCTGTACTCAGTTTTCTGGTAAGTACAACATCTCCGTTCCTTCATACAATCAAGCATCTTTCTAATTAGCCCCAGTCCGGTCGTTGCTGGCCCTCTACCTGAGATACACGCCGAAGGCCGTCAATTCGACTCACGCTTCGCTCCTATTGCTCGCCCCGTGTTCCCTCGCAGCTATTGGGACAACGTCACGGCGACCGACACGACTCCAGCCCCAAAGGCGCATAAACGCTCCTACCCCGCCGGACCCTCAGCGTCCGCCTACGTCTTCCATGCTAGACACTTCGGCCCAGAGGCCTAGGTAGATGGGTCATTTGTCTCAACGACGAGGACCCCGGAAGCTCCCCTGAGGGTCGAGCAAGCACGACAAGGTATCCCTACTACTAGGACACAAACTAGACGGACATTGGGTGAAGACGGCGTTAATGATAGAGGACGTTCCCTTTTTGTGATGAGATCATGATAGATCGCACTGATTTTATGGTGGATGGGGCGGGGATGGACTGGGGCTGTTGCCAACGAATCGCCAGCTGGGCCGCTCTTATTTTCCTCTGGGGGTTGGGGGTCTTCGAATTTCTGACACTGTCGTTAGTCCAGAGTTATCAATGAAATTGACGCCAATCCCTCATAAATATCAAAAATCTGCCGCTCCTTGATTTCACAAGCCGCTCTGGCTTCCGCTTCTTTGCTGTGCCTGTTCAACCTGTTGGTTTTGGGCGCCCTAACCCTACACTTTCTACCTGACAACACATATCGCGTCGTTTTGATTGTATTGCGACACAAGTATCAAGAGCATTGTTTCTAGCGTTCGCGTCCATCTTTGACCTTCTCACAATTACGGGGGTTAAGAAAGAAGACAAAGCAGGAACGGTGCTTTGTCCAAACACAATCACATGCCAACAATACTTTTGTTCCCAATCTTGTCTACAAAGACAATGTTCCCAGCGCCATCGATTCCTTGCCTCTATAAGCCCTCCCTTTTCCCCTCGTCTCCACTCACTTTCCAATCAACCTCCACAATCTCAAGCCTCTCACCAATCTCCACCCAGAAAAAAAACCCCATTCAACCGCCGGAAGCAACGGAACCAAGACAAACCACACAAAACGAGCGACGATGCATTCCGCCACCCTAATCCTTGCCCTCGGCTTCACTCTGGCTTCAACCACCAGCGCCGCTCCACTGTCGGGTCCACTCTTCACAGCCGTCAGCCGGGTCCCCGCGAGCACCGCCACAGGAGCGGCCAACGTCACCGCAGGTGAGTTCCCCAAGCACCAGCACACCCCCGACTGTAAGCATAACTACAATGCTGCGAAGCACAACGTCACGGACCACAACAAGACCACCGAGGCTACGGGCCATGCTACCGAGGGAACTGATGACGAGCGTGCTACTAGAGCCGTAGGCAATCCGTCGCCGTACCCGAGCAGGTTTAACGCAAGTGGTTACGCGCACCCCCACGCCGTTCAGGCACACAACCACACGGGCGACTACTGCGACCACCCTACCCACCACCATCACCACCACCACCACAACACCAGCACCACTGACGCTACCTACGACAAGCTAATCCACTCACCCAAGACGATGAACGCGAGTGCGAACCCATCGCGCCCCAACAACGGCAGCACCACCACCACCACCGCTGGCCCGCGTCGCCCGGACAAGAGATCGGTGCCGATGACGCCCAGGGTCGACGTGACGGTGTGTCTGGGGGCCGAGTGCAGGGATACGGCCGTTGTGACGGCGGACGTGGACGGCGCCGGCGAGCTAACGGGTGTGGTGGTGGGGGCCAAGGACGGCGGGCGCCTGGGCCGGCGTCAGGAGATGGACTTTTCGTACGAGGAGGTTGCGCGGCAGATGTCGGGGGCAGGGATTGCCGGGGGGGTGTGAGGGTGATCTGGACGGGTGTGGTGGGTAGGGGGTTTTTAGTTCCGTTGTTTTGGGGGGGGGGATGCCTGATGGTGCTTCGCTTCTGGAGAGGGTTGGTAGAGTACCTAGTCGGGATCGATAAATATAGACAGTCTTGTTCGCTTTCCGCACCACTATTTTCCCCTTTCCTTTCCTTTCCCTTTTCCTTCGATCTGCGCTACGATAGGTCTGTCCCATTCGGTGGATTCCCGTTCCAGTGTGGTGGTGTGTAGACATGTCATTACGGTTGTGGCAGACTCGCCAACGGAAAACCCTCCACCTCTGCCCGTTGGCCTCTCGATCCCTCGATCTCCTTGCCCCCAATCCAGGGCGAGCAAGCGAAGTTTTTGCGAATGGCCGTTGCGCCACCGGCGCTGGCCCTGGAAACCCGTCCTTGCACTCACACTGCTGCCGAGGCCATCGGAGGATTTCCAAACACCGCCACTTTCAAGCCTCGGGCTGAAATGTCCCTGCCGTCAGCAAATGTCACATGTACCCCTTGCAGCGCAGCTATGACCTTCTTCTCACCTCACCTCCCCAATCCAGCGCGGAGAAGCGAGATTGTCCTTTTTTTTTTCATTTTCCGTGTTTTTGGTTTTTGGGACGAAGGATGTCGCGGAGGATTCTTGCCTGGATCCTGGAAAATGCCTCAGGTGCTAAAGAGGAAGAGGAAGGAGGTCGACAAGGCCTTGTGCATGAACGAGCCTTATGCATGTCATGCATACATTCGGCGCTAGAGCGAGTGCGGTCATAGTCTCTTCGGGTTTGAAAGAATGCGAAGAGAGAGAGATGGTGGCTCGCGTAATTTTGAATCCTTTCCTGATCTGGGCATTCTTTCTTTTTTTGGCCCTGCATGATGCATGACGCATGATTTGCTATTTTCCCACGCAAGGTCCCGGTCTTTTGCATGAAGAAAAAAGGAGACTATTGATTTTCTCGATTCATATATAAAGTAGAGGCGGTGTGCCCGGAAGCGGGATGTCTGGTTTTCGTCACTATTCGTGTTTGGTGGACTGTTGAGGAAAGAGACGGACGACTCTTCTGCTTTGTTTGCTGACATGAGTCATGACTTGCTGCTTTTCTTCCAGCTTGGCAACGGTCAGCACACCCACCAACCTAGGTGCTACATCTATCTTTGACAGAAAGAGACAGTCGTCGAAGGAATGATCCCGCGTGTGACTAGTAAGCCTCGCTGCCTTCCTGGCGCGTGCCGTTGATGGCGCCACCCTGGTGTCTCCTCTACCTACTTGCTACAGTGGTGCATTTTCCTGCATTTTCCTTCTATCCGACCTCGCTCTACTCTCCTATATCCGACCTGGTCTGTCCAATTCTGCAATTTCCAGTGCCGTGGTAAACCCACAATAAGCTACGTTTATCGTTTTGTTCGTATAATTTTCTCTCACGCCTATCGAGACTGCTCCATGTTCGGATCTTCGATGATCCAATATTTGCTGTTTTTGCACTACGATAGCCCCATATCCTCGTACGACGACCCTGAAAATTGCAGCGATGCGCCTCTCCAAACTTTATGCGACATTTCCATCCTCCGCTTCTTCGGCTGTGAGAGATGGTGGGGTAGAAGAAACCCGATGTGAGTGAATACTTACACATGCCCTCAACGATAGGTTCGAACAACTTGGAAAGGCTCGTTGGAGTCTAGAATTCGTTGGACCCTTGCGCGACTTTTGGCAATGCCGTGAAGGCTTCTTCCTTCGGTGTGGGGGAAAACTACCCGGCAACGATCGGATAGGTGTATATGCTCTTCTTTTGAGATAGACCATGTCTAAAGCGCCCATTTTGATTCTCGTCATGTATCAGCGAAAAATTGTCCTTTCCGAGACACCCGTCCACTCTCGGTGAATTCTCTATCCCGAAATCCTCAGAAGACACCACGAACGAGGTATCCGCAGAGCGAAGTGAAGCCATCAGCCGACAGAGCACCTCTGCAACCCACCCGCCTCCCATGCATCTCCACACCCTCCTCATCAACCTAGTTCCCCTCATCATCCTCATCGCCCACATCACCACTCCCCTCGCCCAGCCGCTAACCAAACGCACCAAACCCTTAACCCTCTCCGGCCTCACCCTCCGCGCCATCCACCCCCTCGCCACCCTCCTCCCCCTCCAACTCGCCGCCTCCTCCCTCGAAGCCTTGTATGCGACCCTCCACCACACCGCCGCCGCCGCGCTGTCCGCGAACCACCTCGCCGCCGCCACCCCCTCCTTCACCCTGACGTACGGCGGCGTCTTCGAGATCAGTTTCGTGGCGGCCGGCGGGCGGGCGGTGCCGTGGGCGTTTGTGCGGGATTTCGCCCTCGTGATGCAGGTCTTGTCGGGGCGGGGGTACACGGGGTGTTATGATCAGGGCTACTGGGACGAGGGGGGGGAGTTTGGGGTGTTTGTCGGGTTGAGGCTCCTGGCTCCGTTGGGGTTGAGGGCGCGGGTTTGAAGGGGAGGAGACAGGGGTTGGTGCTGGCTGGCTGAGGATGTGAGTGAACGAATGAACGATGGGCACTACCGAATGCGGAAGGGGATTTCTTGATAGCACCGTTCCAAAAACTTTTCGATGAGAAAGCGGAACCCATTCGTTCACGTCTCTTTTCTGCGAGTGAGCATACCAGGCTTCAAGCACCTAGAACATCGGATTCTAAATGAGACATTGCTCGTCCGTCGACCGTAGACACGGTAAGATGGCGCGCTGAGCCGTGATGTCTCTCTCCAAGAGCGAGTCCTGTATCCTTGGCTTGCGGAATCACGAGTGAGCCGATGAAACAATTCCCGGGCTTTAATAAAGAGGAAAGAACTTCACTCAAATTTGTCTACGCACTCACGCATCAATTAGCCAGCTGTTACCTTCGACGAAGAAGGCATCATCTTAACTACCGGCCGGGTATAGAAAGAGACCGCTGAGCTGAGTGGCTGACGAACTCGTAGGAACGCTGCGGACAGGTTGTTCTTGAATCTTCAAAGCCATGCACAAAATGACCAAGAGTGCTCTCCTAAGCAATTCGACCGCTCGCTCATGACTCTTGACGAAGGCTGCATTCGGTGAGAGTCTTGGTTCGGTGTTTATCCCCCAAAACAGCCCAGGTCTTGAACATCCGCTCGCGACAGTGAACAAGCATGAATTGTACTGATTTAATTTTGCCACGACAATTTCAATGGCTTGTGAATCAAATCGCAGTTGCGTAGAGATGAAACACGGCAAGTTCTTCCTCAGGATACTCTGCACGCCCATGAATCCAAGATGCGAAAGGATATCTCAGAGTCGCGTCAGGACAATGTTTGGAGGAAAGTCCGCTTTGAAAAGCAGTGCAAAATTGTTCGACAGCAGCTAGCCTATATTGAAGAGACAACTGATACCCAAAGCCGTCATGCTCCAATCTTTGGGCTCTGGAGACGTTATGTGCCCTCCTTTTTGGCTCGTAACTATTGCTTGGGCTCCACTAGCCGTCGCAAAGCTAATCCGTGACGGATGATGCGGAGGTTGTCAGCACCTGTACCGCCTATAATGGCAGCACTGGTGTTTCAGAGCCGTGGACAAACACCTACTCCAATCTTCAGCAGTCGCCTTGGTTTTGACCAGAGCTGGTTGCAGCGAGAAGCCAGGCTTACAGCGGCCGCTCTTGGAGAAATTAGGTTTGACTTTGGAGGCGATGACATTGCTGCATCAATTCGAGGCAGTTTGGAAAGGAGTTAGTTGAGATGAATATAGATTAGCTCCTGTTGCCATAACAACCCGGGTAACATCAATTAACCCCTCTCCTCACGTTCCTTCTTCTGCTTACGTGCATCGAACTCTGACCATGTCACTCATTCAGCAACCCCCACTGGATATTGAAGCAAACCTGTTCTCAATACCTCGAGAGATTCGTGACCTCATCTATACTGCGCTGCTCCAGATCCCGAATGACCCACCCACATCGCCCGAGGAGGCGGGCCCGCGCTTCAGGAAAGGGAGCAGTCTCTACTCCGTGGAGCGGTATCCTGAGGCCGTCTATGCTGCCTTACTGCGCTGCAACCGTCAACTGAGAGATGAATTCCAAGAGGTCCTGGTTGCCCGTCAGCCAGTTCGGGACTTCAGACTCGATTGTATGATCAAAAGCGACGACCTGTGGCCAACATGGATCTTGCTCCCTTGTCCAGGAACACGGGACATAGGGGTACTGAATGTGGACCTTCGACTCTTCAACGTCGGTCATGGCCACGATCAGTATGTTCAGTTTTTTGACGATGGTAGGTGCTCTCCGTGTTCTTTCTCTACTAAACACTATCCCCTTAGTCGCGAGACAAAATTTACGGACCAAGAGTGGAACCGCAATTGGGGGCTCTAATTCTAGTCTTCCCACTGCGACCGTAAAAAGAAAGACTAACCCAAGCCAACCACCACAGGTGGTCCGGCCATGATCTTCACACCTCTTTTCCAGCTCCTCAACCGCTTTTTCCATCATGGACCTCGATTCTTCAGCTCTAGCGCCAAGGATGGTGTATATGGCCGGAATTTGCATGTCAAGACGCTCTGTATGACACTCGTACACGAGAGGCCAGGGGCAAACTCCAATCCCGACGATCCGCTGTACGATCAGAGACACATTCGTAGTACTTGCTGGTTCGCGCTACTCAAGATTGCAAACTCAGGCCTGCTCCTAGGCAAAATAGAGAAGCTAAAGTTGTGCTGGCGTGACGAGATAAGAGAGGTCGAGGTGAAGGGCACCGGGGAGAGGCGTGACGTTGCTGAGTGGGATTTGTATGGGTTCCGTTGGGGCCCCTGAGGCGGTAGATTGATACCTTCACCCACGTCATAGAACCGCCAGCCTATGATATGAAACATCACGTTTCGATTTCTGGAGGATTGTAAATACAGACAATGACATGTACGATGTGTGCGAGTATGTTGAACATCCGCAACTCTCCGTCGCCGTGTCGAATTTCGAGCCCAGCTCTTTCTCACCTAGCCTTCCGCTCATCTTGTGGTCTACGGCCAACTTTATCTCAACACCCATCGGATGGTTACGCTTCAGTATGCAATGGTAGCCGCGGCTACGTGAGCGGGGAACGTCAACTTGAGCCTATATCAAATTGCGATGCTTCAAAATATGTTACTCAGGATATGTGTTAGCAAAAGAAAAGCGCACTGACAACACTTGAGGCTCGCGAACGCTTGTTCCAAGATTTTTGGATTGGACATAACTAGCTCGTCTGAAAGATGTAAACGATCCCTCGCTCACTGTCTCTGACGCCTGGTCACTAGGTCACCGTGCTGAGTATCCGACTCTGTTTCACTTGCCGAAAAGCCTTGCCCAATGCTCGATCTCACAACATCTGCTGTGGAGAATGGACGAGCCTTCCGTATTCATTTCTTTCTCGTCATCCTTGATCTTTGCTTTGCAGCTCGTGGTGCACCAAACATACCATCGAGGCGAGGAGGACGTGACCACTTGCATCATCGCCACTTGTAAGTGAGGTAATCAAAGCATCTTCCCAGCCGGGCTTTGGAATGAGGTCTACGATCTCTTCTGGATCCCCATAGCAGAGTAATACTGTTGCAACGAGCAATATCTTGCTTCCGACGAAGTCTGTGCTCAAGAATGTGCTGCGGTTGGTAAATTGCATTGTCTCGAGATCCATGGATTGGCTCTCCTTTGCGATCCCTTCATGATTACTCTTACGCAACCGTTCCAGGACCGAGACTGACGATTAAGGCGAGACCCACTGTCCCAAAACCCACGCGCAACTTCCCACCTTGCCCAACAAATGGCACTACATTAGACCCATTCGACGATCCGCCCGTAGGACTCGTTCCACCACCAAACCCATACATGATCAAGCTTCCCAACGCTCCCGCTCGCGTCTGCGCCGCTGACTCCAACGGCATCGTCGAAGTGCCAATGACCAACTCTGAAGAGCCTAACGAGATCAAAGTACCATTCACCAACACGGCTGACCCACCGGGAGAAACCGACTGTGCGCCGACCGCAAAGCCAGTGGGAGCAGCCGTGAACGTCTCGGACCCGATCTTAAAAACAGACACGGACGGCGAAGGCAGGGGAGTAGTCCTGCCATTGACGACAAGTGCATTGCGGCCCGAAGCCAGGGAGAACACGCTTCCGGCGTATGTCACCGCTGATCCTCCGGGCAGGACGCTTTGGCCTCCGATTGCGAAGCCAGTGGCAGCAGCGCTAAGTGTTTGGCCCGCTACTGTGAGGATCGGTACCGGAGGTGGCAAGACGGGTGACGTCTTGCCATTTATCACGAGCGCGTTCCCATCAGGAGCCAAAGCGACCGTTGTGCCGCTGACCGTGGCCGCTTTGGCGCCAGCGCTGATGATGTCGCCGTTGGCGAGGGTAATGACAGGGTCCGCGGATGGAAGAGCTAAAGGAATGGTGCTGCTGGCGATGACAATTTGACCCTTTTCGACCGATATTGGTGTGCTATCTATGGTCGTCTGGACGCCTGGTCGAATTGTGGTGCTTGCTATAATGATGCCACCCCCACTCGCCGCTTGGATCTGGTAGCCTCCAATCGACGGCAAAGGTTGAGCATAGTCTGCAGTAGACTGGTCGAGGTCTTCAGCAGGATCCAAGGCAGGTCCAGCGTTGTGCCCGCTTCCAGGGTCAGCTCCTGGATCTCCCTCGCTAATTTCGCCAGTCGGTTGAGGATCGTTGGATTTGGGATCCGATACTACTTTAGGAGATCCTTGTGCTGCGTTATCTCCATTGAGAGCAATTGGAATAGCTGTCGAAGTAGCAGGATCATCGTTTTTACTATTTACAGGAGGTTGGATGGGATCTGGCGGGTCAGGCCGTTGTTCGTCGGGATCTTGGGGATCGGCTTTTGGATCGTTGGCGGAAGGCTTGACTGGATCTGGTGGGTGAGCATTCTGCTGTCCAGGGCTTTGGGGACCAGCTTTTGGAGCAGGAGAGTGGGTTGCTGGATTCCCGTGATCAATCGGATTGGCTGTCGGTGTCGGTGGAGCATGTGGGGGAGCTACAGGGCTTCCTGGGGCAGGGGTAGGTTGCGAGCCTTTTCCCGGATCTGGAACCAGAGCTGTTGCTGTGTGCAGCGCAATTGGAGGATCAAAAGCACCCCAAAGCACCGCGTTGCAGGTACTCCATGCCGGGTCCAAGATGGTGAGGTCTTGAGGCAGGGATAAGTAAGGGCCATTCGTAGTGCTTTCCAGCGAAGCATCCAGGCCCAGACAGGTCCCGTTGTAGATCGTTGGATGCTGCAGCTCTGTGACATTGATTGCGGAAAATCCTTGATAAAAGCCTTCTGGTTCACCCGTGCATATTGATGTGGACAAAAGGCCTGGCTGATAAGCGATCGTGGTATTGTATGCGTTTCCGCGCGTAAAGTCACCGTTGCCGAAAGACGGACACACATCTGATGCTCTCAAGTTACGATAGGCCACGTAGACTGATGGCGAAATGCTGCAGGTAGCGTCAGTATTAGGGGAGAGGCTAGAAGCCTGGGCATGGACTAACAACGTGACGCCATTCGAGACTAGACTTTGAGGATTGACTGTTGTTGTTGGTGCTGACGTGTTCGTCAGGCTTCTCGTGTCTGCATCGACAGGCCAGTAGAAGACTTGAACGTCTCTTGCGGTGATCCAGCACTTGATGCAACAGTCTTTCGGAGGTCTTGGGGATGAGAGAAGTCAGTCTCTCTCTCTTTACGAACATAGTTTCAACAGGTGATGGGTTTCCAAACAAGTCTCACGACCATAAGAGTGGACAAAATGGACACGAGTCATTTCGACCGCGTTGATACATACAAGTAATTAGGATCCTCGACAGTAGTGAGTGTCTCGAATGCCGTGAGGGTTTGGAGGTATCTGTAGGGGCTGGGTATGCCAGATGCAAATGAGTGGACTAGGTCCGAACATGAACAGGCCGTTGAGTAAACATCGGGGTTCGGCGGTCCTCCGTCCACAGGGCCCAATCCGTTCTGCTCTACCTGACACATAGATACGTTTGCACGGGGGAAAGTAGTATATAAATCACCTGGATAGGGAGAGGAAGTCCCGTTGGCTTTTATCGATACCGCTATGTTTGTTTTATGCGTCAGTGTAATTGCCAGCTTAATTAGATTCTGCGTTTATGAAAGGCCGGGTTTATTGACCGGTGTAGGATATTGAGAGCTCAAGGCAACCACTCTGCTCCACTCTCATTTTCCAAGACTAGGAGAAGACTTGGTAGAGAAGAAAGCAGCGGCTCTCAATCGTTAGTGACAACAAAGTTGTCTTGGGAAGTGCAAAAGGGTGACGTACAGTTTGTAGACCTTGTTAAAGCAGCTAATAAGTACAACAGATTTGTTAGAAGGGAATTTCCGGAGTACGCCGTAAAAAACAGTGTAGGAGACATCGGTGACCAGGAAGAATATCAGCATACAATATGAATGAACGCAGAACTTGCAAATCGAGAGAAGAATGCGATCAGAAGAGCGTGGACAAAAATCAGAGAAGGCATAAGAAAAAGGTTTGATGCGAGCTGAATGGAACCCATATCTCGCCTGATCAAAGGCTCTGGCACAGCAGAATCACTACATTGGGGCTGTGAAGAGAGGGATCCGTCAGCATCCACTCATCGTAATACGGCTCCGTCTTGCATATCTAGCGAGATTTGTCAATGGCTGTACTTGATTCGTGTAGTAGCCATGGGTGACATAGCCATGGGCAACAGTGGCCATGGGTGACATAGCCATTGGCAACAGTAGCCATGGGTGATATAGTTGGCAACAGTAGCCATAGGCAACATAGCCATGGCAACAGCATATAGCCATAACTATGGTGTGCTAGGGTAATTAGTTCACTTGACGTATATGTGGAACTAACACGCCTGAAAAACTAAGATATATCCCTCGAAGCGATCCGATTTATTATAGGCTATAAGCCGAAATCGAATAACTCGAAGAGACGAATCTCTAGTAATTTAGTAAGCGACTTTTTATATTTATATTAGGCCTATATCTATTATATAAAGTTCTTTTCTTATATTCTATCTATCTATATATATAATCTATTTATATAATATTTATATATAGCCTTAGTCTTAATTATATTAGATATAGTTTATTATATTATTAATAGATTATAAGCTTAAATAGTTATTAATCGAGATTTTAGTCTTTCGCTATATCTATCTATTACCGCTATAATCTCTCTAAATACTAGAGAACATAGTTATCTCGAGAATCTTATCGAAGAATACTCGAGGGTAAAGCTATAGTAGATTAAGGAATAAGATCGTTTATTCGCTAAATAGATAGCGTTATTAACTAAGAGTCTTTTTTATTTAAAAAGAAAAGAAAAGAAGGAAGAAGATCTTTTATTCGATTTAAATAATTTGTTAATAGTCGATTTATTAAAGAAATTAAATAAGGGACTTATTAGTAAATCGCACGTTAAAATAAAAGTTCTAAAGAACTTAAACTATTATCTATAGACTTAGAATTATTAATAATTTCTCGAGAAATAAGATATCTTTAAAATAGTATTAAGGGAATTATTAATATCTATATAATTCGATAGAAAGCTAGTTAAACGATAGATTATTTTAGATAGATAAATCGCTATACTAATTAGAGATAACGTTAATCGAAATTAAAAGAGTTATATCGCCTATCTTATTACTTTTAAGTTTATATAAAATAAGCTTTATCGAATCTATAAAATAAGTAATAAAGAACGTCTTTCGATTATATTATAGAAGTTTCTTAAATATATTAAATTAGTAGACTAGACGATCGATTAAATAATAGTAGATTTATAAAA